GGGTCTGTTCACAAGCTTAAAGGTCGTGATCTAAGCGTGGCTTCTTCCACTCCAGCGCTGTCCTCCAGACAGTCTCGTCCCTTCACCTGATGAAGGCCGCTTGTGTTGTGGCCGAAACGTCGTGATTTTTTGTTATTTTACTTTCACCTACGTGACTTTACCCAATAGAACCAAAGAGTAAAGATGATCACTGCCCATTGCTCACATCTGCCTTGCTTCGGCATGAATGGCGGCGATCTGAGAGGCATGTATGTAACGCGATTTTTTGTTCCTGGGTGGAAAGTGTTATATTCTTAATTGCTTATGCCTCAAAAGTATATAAAATGGCTATTATTCCCTACAAACTTTGCTTTTGCGACCAGGACTTTACGTGAAGGAATGACACAAATGCACAACCACGTTTTCTCATTGAAAATAGGTACATTTCAAAATATCAATGTCCTGGTCACAAAAGCAAAGTTTCGGGGGAATAATATCGATTTTCTGTACTTATGAGGCATAAGCAATTCGGAAATAACACTTACTACCCAGGAACAGAAAAATATATATAAATGTGTTCCACAGTGTTATTAATGGAGTGGATTATTAACTTAGCGTTTGTGTCCTGGTCACAAAAGCAAAGTTTGTGGGGAATAATAACAGCCATTTCCTGTACTTTTGAGGCATCAGCAATTCTGAAATATCGCTTACTTACCCAGGAAGGAAAAAAAAATGTTTTGTTACACGGTGAAATCATTGGTGCTTCACTGCCAACGTGCGTAGTCAAAGCGCTCCCGACTGGCGGTGCTCCTCGGGAGTGGCGTTGGCCAGGAGGAGCCCGAAGTACTCTGCGACGTTTGTACCTCGAGAAGAACGCGCGTCTGCTGGGCCCGGCTGGCTGGCTGGCTCAGCCCGTCTCCGATGGCGCTTACTCTGCAGCGGATATCACTGTGCCACCCCCGGTACGGACCCGATCAGCTCACCCACCCCAATTTGGTGGACATTCAGCTAAACGTCACCGTGAGAATCAATCTCAGGTGTTAAAAAGGACAACCCTTCAACATCCCTCCCACTACCGTGGCCGCCTGTTGCTGTGCAACAACCATCACCACCACCCCTACCAACACCACCACCAACACCACCACCCCCCCCCCCCCCACCACCACCCACCCCCCCCCCACCACCAACACCACCACCACCACCACCCCTCACCAACACCACCACCACCCCCCCCCCCAGCAACACCACCACCCCCCCCCCACCCCCCCCCTACCACCACCCCCCCCCCAGCAACACCACCACCCCCCCCCCCACCAACACCACCACCTCCCTCCCCCCACCAACATCACCACCTCCCTCCCCCCACCAACACCACTCGCCAAAAATTCGCCACCAAGCTGCAGTGGCCAAGACGCTGGACAAAGTACAACACGCGGCACCGGACTTACTCTACCCCACCACCACCCCCCACTTCATGTCGACATTTTGAAGCCACCACCCGTGCTGCGTCTGAAGTCCCCCGGGCACGACGTGTGAGCAGAGTGGAGCGTGTGGCGGTAACAACCAGGGGCTGAACGATTTGGGGAAAATGTCTAATTGCGATTTTTGCTGACAGATATCGCGATTTGATTTGCGCGAAAAAAATTAAGTCAGACTTCAGTTCAATATTCACTGTGTAATAGATTTTCAACATGTGATGGAGCATTTCCACGTGATAACATCAAAATATGAACTGCTCTAAATATTCTAATGCAAGGATGAGAACTTAATAGATATGAATTGCTTCCAATATGTATTTATTAACATGTTTTAATTGAAATAGAACAATCAAACATAGAACAATTGTTAAGTTAAATACATAAAGTTATAATAAGTAATAAAACAATTCCAATAAGAATGTAATCGGACTTTTCAAATCGTTCAGCCCCAGTAACAACCACCGCCATCCGCCACTGAGTGGCGGTGACGTCACTTTAGCGCTTGTGCCAGGCTAAGTGCACGTCACGGCCACGCGGAGCGTCGAACGCCCGCCGGCAGGAGGTCAAGGTGAAGGCGCAGGTGCCACGGGTCGACTGGCTGAGATGACTGAGATGACTGAGATGACTGAGATGACTAGCCGATGCACCACCCCCCCAATACTGAGCATGTGGGACACCCACGCTGGCTGGAACGACGAATGGAATGGAGAGCCGTGAAAGTGTCGAACGAAGACCTCGCACGCGATCCATCCGCCCAGACGCCTGGCTTCGACCCAACCCAAGGCACCAACGGGTGAAGTTAAACCGCTTCCCGTGTGACCAGGCAGCGTGTCGCTGCTTCCGAACATCGATGGGGCCGTGCTACTTACGCGACAGCCCACTGATGCTGCTGGTGGTGGTGCGAATTTTGCGCGGAGCCAGGAGGTGACCATGCGTGGCTCATCATCGTCCACGGCTGTGAAGTGCGTCTTGGGCGTGCCGGGCCGGCTGATTGCCCTGCACTTGAAATAGGAGGGGAAGGAGGCCGTAGAGTGGCTCTGTGGCTATGTGGGGGGGGAGCTGACGTGCAACTCATGAAATATTTATCGATATATATCTTGCAAATGTAGGTTGGTGTTTTGACTATGGGAAGTCGCGGTAAAATAGCGTTCGCCAAATAAAACAATGCAGAAAATAAACTCCTGACAAAGGGGCCACATAGATCGCTCAGTGGGCCTCACCTGCTCAAGTAAAAATAGTTTAGCTCGAGTTAAATTCACCTTGAAAGCCCATTCGCCCGCCACACTCCACTCCAACGATAGCAGCAGCACAACCAACAAGGCCCGGCTTGTCCTTGCGCAAAAAATAACTGTGTACACAGCTCCCCCCCCCCCCTGCCCCCACGGCGTCTTAATCCCCCTGCAAAGTCCTTGAACAAAACCCACGTGTGGGATGATGGGACAACAACACAAAAAATAATTTCACTCCCGCAGGGTACAGCGACGGCAGCACGCCCCCCCCCCCCCCTTCCCCTCCCACCCAGAGTTAAAAACAGAGCGTGCTCTCTGGCCCACTAAGAGAACACTCCGTGGAGCTTAATTCATCTTGAGAAGACAAAAAAGTGCTTCTGGCCACGTTTCCCGCTATGACCCCAAACAGCTCGTCCCAGTGCACACAACGGGGCTATGCCCAGGGGTAGTTCGCGTACATTGCAACACGCCGTTCGGATTAATTTCTCATCTCGAATCACAATAAATCAGCAGCGGCAACTGCTTCTTTGCGCGTTCAGTTTGTTGTCCGCCCACCCCAGCCCCGCCCCGCCCCGCCCCGCCCCGCCCCGCCCCGCCCCGCCCCGCACCTCCGATTAGCGCGGATTGGCTACGTACGGTGTGCGAGAGAAGATCAGCTGCAGCCGTGTTCAATCCACTGCTGCATGAAGGTTCCTAAGCGAGCCGCTGCCTCTGACAACCCAACCTTGCCCGCCATGCCCATGGGCAATACAAAGAAGACCCCCCCCCCCCCCCCCGCCGTGTAGCCTGTAATAGACTGTTGGGGCAAGTGCTGTTAGCGAGCAGCACCTACGAAGGCATAACGGTGGTCATCAATCAGCAGCAGCAGTAGCGGCAGCCGTGTTCAATCCAGCGCTGGACGAGGGCCCTACCCAAGGGCTGCCTCTCACGATCCTGAGATGTTACAATTCCACCCCGCCCCGCCCACCTGCTCAGCGCAAAACTGATCTCATCGCTTCCATCTCCTCGCTGGGACGTGCTCTGGGACGCGATTTTTTTTCCCCTTCCCTTCCCTCCCACGCATCCCTCGGTGTTTTTTTTTGTTGTCAAAATATTACCGCGTGTAGCATTTAATTAATTTACTAGCCACCGCGCGTCCCCTTTTGCACCGCCGGCGTCACGGGCCGCCCGCGAGACACGGAGAAGAATCCCCGAAGGAATATCTCGCGCGGCGATTGTGATGGAGAATTGCTGCAGAAGAAGATTTTTGAAGTCACTGGCTCGCCATAAAGAATTATTTTTTTTGTTCAAATCTTCAACTGAAATCGGGGCAAAACATTGTTTTTTTCGTGATTTACTTCACTCGTGGAGTCGGGAATTTTTGGGCCGTCAACATTTTTTTCTTCTTCTTGTTTTCCCAGTTGTACGCTCAGCGTTACGTCAAGAGACAAACTAATCCGTTTGGCACTTTTACAGACCATTCTGCACCCCGCGCGTGTGTGTGTGTGCGTGTGCACCACCGACCACGCAGTGGATTTTTCCAAAATCGTACAAATGGATTATTCTGTTGCTAAACGGCGAAGATGGCAAATTCCCCACATACTCTGCTACGAGATCGATGTCTGCCGCACGACGGTCAACCTGACATTTGAATTTCCCTACGCTGGAATTGAACTAAATTAAGTGAAACCCGAATTTTTATTTTTTAGATGTATAAATTATTATTATCATTATAATTAGACTGGGCTTCGAAGCATTAGCTACCCACACTTGAGAACCCTGCTTTAGCCATGTGAGGCTGAAAGCCACGTTTAAACCCAGGTTCTCACCAGTGCCAGTTCAGTGGTGGGAATGCCATCAATCGGTGGCTGATGATGCTGTTGCTGCTGCCGATGATGATGATGATGCACGTGATTATGGGGAGCAGTGGTGTAGCGGTTAGCGCGCTGCACTACAAATCCAGCGACCCGAGAACGATTCCCGCTCGCGGCCAACACCGGTGACGATTATCCGAGCTGCTCCTGGGCTTCCCCTAGATCGACTCGGCCTCAAAAATAGTACCTGGTGCGGTGTGTAGTAAACATCGCCACTAGGGAGACAAAGGCGACCAGGCGTGGTGCTGGCCAGCCCACCCCCTCGTGTGCCGTGCCGGCCTTCACAGGTGCTGCTCGCTAACAGCACTTGCCCCACAGTCTGTTAAGGCTATACGGGGATATTTGTCTTTCTGATGCACATGCCCCACTTTCCATGTGACATCTTGAGATGCAGTTACATTGAGATTTTCGAGAAATTCGTTGTCATTGCATTGCATTGAGTGGCCATGGAATACACTCACCTCTCCGTTGCAGAAGCAGTAGATGATAGCCACAAAGAACCCCTGTGTGTGTGTGAGAGAGAGAGACACACACAAAGACAAGAGAGAGGACATATGGGCAAAGAAAATCAATCGTGTGTCGATACATAAAGTCACTTTTCTTAGCACCTCAAACTTCACATCTGTTGGAGCGCCCTGCCACTGCACGTGAAGGTTAGGCACGCCACGATTCATCCCGGGGAGAAATGTTCACAGCGTGTGATGAAACAAAATGATTATGTTAATTGTCAGTGTTAGAATTTTATCAGGATTAAATGCACTAGCAAGAAGTCATTAGTGACAGAGCTGACACCAGCCCCTTGCCGTAATTCAGAACCCACTTTAATGTTCATGGCATGACACTCAATCTGATATATACAGGGTGCTTCAAAAACGTTAACACTTACATTGGACTATCGTTTTTTTACTGGAATAAGAACGGATACTACACTGTGACATGACAACAAATGTAATGTTAATAGCTTCAAAAAGTCAAAGAGTCTCCACTTGTTGGCCATCGTTGTCAACGCGTGGCCTGGAATCTTCTCCAGGTGCTCTCCAGAGCCCGGAGGCGGCGCATTTCTTGTGGCGCTGTTGGAAATTCTGAGAAGTGCTAAAAAATAAAATGAAGCACCCTGCATATAATTGAGTGGGACATCTGTGAATGAGAGAGCTTTGTAGCTCGTCGGATTTCTCCAGGATATATAAAGATTCTTGATTCCGATCATTCTCGGAGATAGAATGTATCAATGCAGTGCAAACAAAAACAACGAGTTTAATACATTTGGGTTTCTTTTGTGCAGGCCATGGTGACCGGGCTGAGACAGAGCCTGATAAACAGGGCCACAGGCCCACAAGTATGTCTCTGCCTTCTTTTCCAAACTACAGATTACATATTGAGGGAAGGAAACTCTCTTGGTGTGTCGGTGTTTTACGTAAAAAAAAATCTCGCCGTTATCAACGCTCATAACATTGCGTTATTTAATTTTGACGAGTTCCGCGTCTGCTGGAAAGTTAAGATTTTATGAGGCTCTGGGCCGAGATCATCACGGGCCGACAGCCCACAACGAGAGCCATCAAGTCCCATCAACTCGCTACGTCGTGAGCAGCGGTCGGGAAAACCCGTGGCTCTTTAAGGACTGTTTTGTGACGGTTCTTTATTAAGGACGACCGTCTCGCATTCACCACAGTGGCATTGCGGCTCTTGCAATATGGAGTTGTTATTTTTTACTACACAGAACTCGAACAAAAATACCTCTTCTTGTTGTTTTGGTATGCCGAGCCCTGGTTACGAGCTTTAGAATCAGTAAAAAAATACAAGAGGCAACTAAAAGCGGGGATTAAAATAGGAATTTGTTTTGTGACGCTGCCTTGGCAGTAAATGCGTAAAGCACAAATAACAACAACATTATAACAAAATGACTGAACACGTTCTTCGAAAATGACACATTGGCCGAAAATGTAATTCAACAAAAAAAATCCCTTTAGGGCAGTGTTATTGACGAAAGTGTTGAGTATTCCATACACGTCAAAATTATTTTGCGAGGTTAACCGTACAGTGATTTATTTGTGGAATTATCACGCAGAGATCGTCATTATTCGCATCTGATACGAAGGCCCCTTTCTCCCCACAAGGCCCCCAACTCACAAGGTCCCCCACGAGCAAGGTCCCATACAAGCCCCCCCCCCCCCACTAACAAGGTCCCACTAGCAAGGCCCCACTCACAAGGCCCCCCACTAGCAAGGTCCCACTCACAAGGTCACCCACTATCAAGGTCCCACTCACAAGGCCCCCCACTTACAAGGCCCCACTCACAAGGCCCCCCACTTACAAGGCCCCACTCACAAAGCCCCCCTATCAAGGCCCCACTCACAAGGCCCCCCACTTACAAGGCCCCACTCACAAGGCCCCACTAACAAGGCCCCACTCACAAGGCCCCACTAACAAGGCCCCCAACTCACAAGGCCCCACTAACAAGGCCCCCAACTCACAAGGCCCCCAACTCACAAGGCCCCCCACTAACAAGGTCCACTCACAAGGCCCCATCAACAAGGCCGCCAATTCACAAGGCCCCCAACTAACAAGGCCCCACTCACAAGGCTCCACCCATAAGGCACCACTAACAAGGGCCCCAACTCACAACACCTCCCACTCAGTGCAGAGGCCGAGATGAGAAAGGGCAGAATGGCGTGAGGCCGTGGGACCTAGAGGGCCGTGGGAGCTCACGACAGCGCCAGCTCCAGAAATGGAAGCAGCAACAACAAAAACGACGACACAGAAAACCACTGCAGGTCGCTCTGAGGAGCACGATCACAGCCAGTGGCGAAAATTCCACATCCCTTATGCAGGGACCGAGTCTATCCATAGGAGAGCCACTCTTGACTTCCCCGGACGGTGGTGCTGTACTAAACGTATCGGCCCCAGGAGGGATAATGGGACCGAGTGAGTCAACGCACCCCGACTAGGAGTTAAACTGGCAACCTTCCGATTGCGAGCCGCTTGCTCTACCGTTGAGCCACCTGGCCGGATAAACCTTCGCGAGTCCATTAGCCCAGAGCAGATGTGTCACTCGCGTCGGTACCACCGTGCCTGCGGGTGCGAATCGCCAACAACAGTTGAATTTGTGCGAAAGGACATTTGAAACGAGTAGCGGTTTATCAGGTGACCCGCACTCTCCTTTGCCGTATAAATCAATGTTCTTCACTCATTTTCAGGGGGGGGGGGGGGTAGCACTTTCGCCGATAAGACATCATCATGACGATAATGATGTGGAGTATTTCACGATTTGTTTACTGTCGGGGGCCACACGTCAGTGGACCACACGAAAAGGTCACCAGGTGGCTGCCAGTGACCCCCGAGCCTTGCCATGAAGAACACTGGTATAAATAAATTGGTATAAATTGGCTGCTAGATATTGGCTGCATGGGGCGGTGCGCTACCCACTTCTTGTCCGGGGTCCCGCAGAGACCCTTACCGGCGCCACAATGACGAGATGTTGACTACCTCGCCTGGTATGCAGGAGGTCGTGGGTTCAATCCCGACCCTGACGCCTGCTGTATATTTGGAGTTTGCGTGTCTCTCTCTCTCATCATCATCACGGTGGCTAGGAGATGTTAGCTACCTCCCCTGGTACACAGGAGGTCGTGGGTTCGTTCCCGATTCTGATGCCTGCTGTCTATTTGGAGTTTGCGTGTCTCTCTCTCTCTCTCTGTGGTCGCGTGGATTTTTCTCCGGGTCCTCCGGTTTTTCTCTCCACATTTAGAATCAACAACGTGCGTTTAGAGTATTTGGCTGCTACAAATTCCCACGTGATGATGATGATGATGACGTTGACGATAAGACACTTCGTGGTCGCTTCTGAAAACAAAAGCTATATAGCGGCTCAGTGGGCCCTAACCTGGTAGAATAAAAAATAAAAAAATAGATATATATTTTTTCAGATAGTTTCAATACCGGGTTTCTTGAACAACGTGCGTATCTCACCTGGAAGGAGTTGAGAAACAAATCGACGTACATGCGGATCTCCCAGGCTACGCCACCGACACTGTCGGGGAAGCCGACAAAGGCTACGTAGTGCACGCCAAACACGACTGTTAGCACCAGCGTCGACTTGGCCAGTTTGCTTGAGGCGGTACAGCGAAGGTGGGTTAGAGGCGCGATGGCGGCGGCGGCGGCGGCGGCGGTGGCGGTGGAGGCGGTGGAGGCGGTGGAGGAGGGGACGGGAGGGGGGGCACATGGTTAAACATGCAAAGCACCGCGGCCGGGGACAATTGGCAACGTAAGCGGCGCAAGCTGGGCAGGGGAGGAGGGGGGGGGGGGTTAGAGGCATGGACAACGATGGGTGGAAGCGAGCGAGTCACTCCGTGCCGCGTGGAAGTCTGGCGGCACTTCGAAGGGGTTACTTGCGCGGAGGTGCGCGGAGGTGCGCGGAGGTGTGCGGAGGTGTGCACGCGTGCGTTGGCATCGGTGTGTGCGGCGAGCGGCGTCATGGGGCACAGTGGGGGTGCATCTACCAGTGGTCATCTCGGTCAGCCAAACCATGGCACCCGCAAGGTCTGTCCCGAGACCTCCTCATGCACCTAGCCTGGCACAGTAGGGGGGTACAGCTTGTTGGTGCATCTACCGGTCATCTCAGTCAGCCAACCCATGGCACCTGCAGGGTCTGTCCCGAGACCTCCTCCTGCACCTAGCCTGGCACAGTAGGGGGAACAGCTGGGGGTGCATCTACCAGTGGTCATCTCAGTCAGCCAACCCATGGCACCTGCAGGGTCTGTCCCGAGACCTCCTCCTGCACCTAGCCTGGCACAGTAGGGGGATTCAGCTGGTAGTGCATCTACCGGTCATCTCAGTCAGTCAACCCATGGCACCTGCAGGGTCTGTCCCGAGACCTCCTCCTGCACCTAGCCTGGCACAGTAAGGGGGTTCAGCTGGTAGTGCATCTACCGGTCATCTCAGTCAGTCAACCCATGGCACCTGCAGGGTCTGTCCCGAGACCTCCTCATGCACCTAGCCTGGCACAGCAGGGGGTACAGCTGGTGGTGCATCTACCGGTCATCTCAGTCAGCCAACCCATGGCACCTGCTGGGTCTGTCCCGAGACCTCCTCATGCACCTAGCCTGGCACAGCAGGGGGTACAGCTGGTGGTGCATCTGCCGGTCATCTCAGTCAGTCAACCGACGGCACCTGCTGGGTCTGTCTCGAGACCTCCTGTCAGCGAGCCTTCGACACTTCACGTGACGGCCTCAAAGTGCACCTAGCCTGGCACAGGCAAATGGCGGGTATTGGTATTGGAGCGGTAGTGCAAGCGGTTGTCTCACCGCGGCACGAACCCGGCCACCCGAGTTCGATTCCCCGCCCACGGCCACCAACACCGGTGACGATTATCCGAACCGGTCCTTGGCCTCGCCTATGTCTACTCAGCCTCAAATGAGTACCTGGTGCGAAGTGTAGTAAGCATCGCCACTGGGGAGACAAAGGCGGCCGGGCTTGGTGCTGGCCACTCCACCCCCTCGTGTACCGTTCCGGCCTTCATAGGTGCTGCTCGCTAAAAGCACTTGCCCCAACAGTCTGTTACAGGCTATACGGGGTGCTTTGTATAAATGTGCGTACGGTAAATGCATGAGCTTTTATAATCCTGGTGACAAGCCCGCTAAGCTGCTTAAGATGAAGCGACGAAGGTAGAAATAAAATACTATTCATAAACAAGGGTTCTTGTTAATTCCTGAAGCTTCGGGGGTGATGGAAAATATTGTTCATTCCATCATTCGTACTTGGGAATAATATCGCCCACCACACCTGTAACGAAAAACGTCTTTTTCATTGCCATAAGTGCATGAGTTTCACAACTTTAGCATGTTACCGTATTCTCCAGATTACAAGACGCACTTTACCCACCCTGCATTTTAAAGTATAGTTTGGAACTGCGTCTTGTAATCCGGCAGATCTGTGAGTTCTGCGGCCAGATTTGTATGACTTTATTAATATCGGGCAAAGATTTGACTTTGTTGACAGCGTCTTAAATTATTATACTCACAAGAATACGGTAATTAACACGGCCAGCCTTTTCTCACTTACCAACCACGAAGGCTTTAACAACAACAACAACAACAATGAAAATATGTTTAATTTATAAAAAACACTTAGTAATATGCCCAAGTCAAAATTATCAACGGTATCGTTTTCTTTGGTTCTTTCGGTAAAGTCACGTAGAATGAGAATAAAATAATAAATTGATAAAATAAAATAACACAATAAAATTATTTTATCAATTTATTATTTTATTCTCATTTTATTCTCATTCTACGTGGTTCTTTCGGTAAAGTCACGTAGAATGAGAATAAAATAATAAATTGATAAAATAAAATAACACAATAATATTATTTTATCAATGTATTATTTTATTCTCATTCTACGTGACTTTACCGAAAGAACCAAAGAAGATGAATCCTTGCAGTCACGAAAGCATTCAATCGAAATTTAACGGTATCGTTGTTGCTGCTTTGACTAAGGTTACTTAAAATAAAATAAAAATAAGCATCAGGAAGCTTGGTAAAAACAACAACAACAACAACACGTTTATAAAGAAAACAACAAGTTTAACAGGGAGTAAGTGCTTTTGCGACCAATACATATAATAGAGGTTCATATTAATAGAGGTTTGTATTATCCATAAAAAAAAGGTTTGTTGGGTTAGAGAGTGTGAATATAAACGTGTCGCTAAACCCGCCACCACCAACACCACCGCCACCCGACAGCCAATTATTTAGAGGTTTGTCAGATAAACAAAACGTGCCAATTCGCTACAAGTACAGCACACCGGTTGTGCATTGGAGAGTAAACCCGCCGCAACATTTTACAATTCGAGTACGAAGTTTCAGCCAGTAATTACAACCAGCATCATCAGGCAACAGCCAGAGTTGTGGAGAAATCCTGTTTCGGTTTTAAGTGTGCTGTTTACGTGCCAAACCTTACTGATTGGGTGGCGGTGGCCGGTTTAACAAACACCCTTTATATATTTTACCCCTCGATTGTGGAAAAACAGCTTGTGAATCGCGGAGCAGAGGAAACGGGACGCGTGTCTGCCACAGCGGTGTAGCGGTTATCGCACTCGTACTCGCATTTCAAAGTGGTCTCCCACTTATTCTTCAGTCACCCGGTGTGACGGTGATTGAGGAGGTGGAGGGAGCGATGAGGAGGGAGGGAAGTGGGGAGGAAGGAGGAGGAGGAGTAGGAGACTCTGTGTGTGTCGTTGTCTTGCTGTGGTCTGGGTTTGTTGTTTTCCTACCTTGCCCAAGCCTGACAATCGGTGTTCTTAAGCAATTTAAAGTTATATATACTTCATCTATTGCACGTGTTTATTTTGCCTGATTTGCTTTCCTCTCCTCTACTTTTGCGCTCCGATCGTTCCCCCCCACCCCCCCCCACCCCCCCCACCCCCCCCCCCCCACTTTGTATTGTTTATTGTCGTGACTTTGTGACCCCGTGCACCCGGCTGTACACCTGCGCAACAACAGCAAAAAGAGCTTCATAGCTCATCGCATTTCTACCGAGGAAAAATAAAGGTCGTGATTCTGATGAAACAGCGGCGCTAACCGTCGACATTCCCACCCAAGCCAAAGCCACAAGGTCCTCTCCACCGCCACCTCTCGTCTCACCCAGCGGGGTAAAGCGGCGAGGCACGCGCGGGTCGCGCCGCGGCCTCGTCGAACGCGGCGGCGCAGGTTCGCGTTCGCGCGCGGCGAGGCGCGGGCAAAAGCCACCCCTGCCAAGACGCCCTGGGAAAGACGTGGCCCCCCCGCGCCATCTCAGCGAAATGGTCACCTCGGCGTGTGCGGCCGCGCCGGCGGACGGCAGGCAGGGTGGCTGCTGCGAGTTTGCAAAGTGAAGCCGAATTTTTAACTCCGTCGGCGGGCGAGAGGGTAAGGTCGCGTCGCGTGCGGTTGTCCGTGCGTCCCAGGGTAACCGCCTCGGAATTTGCAAATGGTGGAAAACTGGGGAACGGATCTCTCGCAACGGGTGGGGGGGGGGCGGGGGGCGGGATAAAATGGGGATATCTTACATCAGCGGGGAAGGGGTGAGGACACTTCTATGTGCCGTATAAAGGGGGCCGCCCATAAATGACGTCACGCGATTTTGGACGATTTTTTAAACCCCCCCCTCCCCCCCCCTCGTCACACGACGTCACAAAAAGTCAGACCCTCCCTCCCTGAAATATGACGTCACAAAGCTCTGCCCTCCCCCCCCCAAAAAAAATAAAACATGCTTCAAACCGCTTTCAACTATAGTCATTGTAGTGCGCGTATTTAATGTGGCGCTGCACTCTGATGTTGTAAGATAAAACATTTATTAAAAAGTCTATTTAATTAAGTAGAACGTGTTGTCTATATTTATTTAAAGTTTTGATGTGACGTCACATTTCTCAAGCCCCCCTCCCCCCTCGTCACACAACGTCACAAATGTCTGACCCCCCCCCCTACCCAGGTGCGTGACGTCATTTATGGACGGCCCCAAAAAGCATCGCGTGGTGTGTTTAATTATAGGAATGTTTAATTGTTTAATTAAACATTCCTATAATTAAACGGGGGGTGGGTGGGGGGGCTTTAAACGCATCGGTCCTGGGAAGGGGAAAAAAACAAACCAGGAAAGGTGGCGACCCCAAGTTTGACCCCACTAAACAAAGAGAGACAAGGACAAAGATCCCCCGTATAGCCTGAACACACTGTTGGAGCAAGTGCTGTTAGCGAGCAGCACCTACGAAGGCCTGGAACGGCACACGATGGGGGGTGGGTGGCCAGCACCACGCACGGCCGCCTTTGTCTCCCCAGTGGCGATTGCTTTTACACACCGCACCGGGTACTCATTTGAGGCTGGGGAGGCCCAGGGACCGGTTGAGATCAATTGATCGTCACCGGGTGTCGGTGGCCGTGAGCGGGAATCGGAACTCGAGTCGCCGGCTTCGTAGCGCAGCGCGCTAACCGCTACGCCGCCGCTCCCCACTAAACACACGCTGACACACACACACAGACACACACACGCTGACACACAGACACACACACGCGCAAGGCCGAACTCGCCCACTTACAATGGGCGCGGTGGCTTGCTGCGGCGTAAGCCACGCGGCGTGCAAGCGTGGCGCGCGAGAGCGAGCGAGCGAGCGAGGGACAGAGAGAGTGCGAGGGGAGGAGAGAGAGAGAGAGTGCGAGGGGAGAGAAGGCGAGCGACGAGTACCTGGAAGGAGTTGAAGAACATTTCGTAGTGCATCTGGATGTGCCAGAGGAGGCGGCTGCTGTCAGTGTAAGGCATGGCAATGAAGACGATGTAGTGAACTCCAAACAGGGGCATGAGCACCAGCGTGGATTTCAAGAGCTTGCTAGATACACACGCAAAGGCCAGAGAGAGGAACAGGGGGGGTCGGGAGAGAGAAGGAAATAAATAAATCGGCGCGTTTCCACGACCGTTTTGGAACTCGGAACCACTCCAGGTAGCCATACATAAAAAATTAAAAAAAAACTGGGACAATACATCATGGGAAGAAGATGAAGAAGTATGTCTCGCAATACTGGAAGCGGGGCGAAATATCAAATATCAATATTATTATTCTAATGAAATTGACGAAAGGCCCGAACTTTTAATGTCGTGGCAAGACTTACAGATTTCTCAGGATAGAGCGATTCCTCCCAAAAACACAGAGTAGGATTCTGGGAAATCCAGCGGAGGTGGATTAGCGATATCTGCTCGGGGCACGACGGTGGCTTCTTTCGGTGGGATTGGTCCTCACATTCGGGTTCACAATCGGTTTTCCTCCACGTTTTGTATCGCGAAGATTGCTGCCACAGTTTTGCCAAGTCGGCCAATTTTGGTTTAACACCTACAGTGAGGGGAAAAAGTATTTGATCCCCTGCTGATTTTGTACGTTTGCCCACTGACAAAGAAATGATCAGTCTATAATTTTAATGGTAGGTTTATTTGAACAGTGAGAGACAGAATAACAACAAGGAAAAATCCAGAAAAACACATGTCAAAAATGTTATAAATTGATTTGCATTTTAATGAGGGAAATAAGTATTTGACCCCTCAGCAAAAACATGCCTTAGTACTTGGTGGCAAAACCCTTGTTGGCAATCACAGAGGTCAGACGTTTCTTTTAGTTGGCCACCAGGTTTGCACACATCTCAGGAGGGATTTTGTCCCACTCCTCTTTGCAGATCTTCTCCAAGTCATTAAGGTTTCGAGGCTGACGTTTGACAACTCAAACCTTCAGCTCCCTCCACAGATTTTCTATGGGATTAAGGTCTGGAGACTGTCTAGGCCACTCCAGGACCTTAATGTGCTTCTTCTTGAGCCACTTTTTTGTTGCCTTGGCCGTGTGTTTTGGGTCATTGTCATGCTGGAATACCCATCCACGACCCATTTTCAATGCCCTGGCTGAGGGAAGAAGGTTCTCACCCAAGATTTGACAGTACATGGCCCCGTCCATCGTCCCTTTGATGCGGTGAAGTTGTCCTGTCCCCTTAGCAGAAAAACACCCCCAAAGCATAATGTTTCCACCTCCATGTTTGACGGTGGGGATGGTGTTCTTGGGATCATAGGCAGCATTCCTCTTCCTCCAAACACGGCGAGTTGAGTTGATGCCAAAGAGCTCCATTTTGGTCTCATCTGACCACAACACTTTCACCCAGTTGTCCTCTGAATAATTCAGATGTTCATTGGCAAACTTTAGACGGGCATGTATATGTGCTTTCTTGAGCAGGGGGACCTTGCGGGCGCTGCAGGATTTCAGTCCTTCACGGCGTAGTGTGTTACCAATTGTTTTCTTGGTGACTATGGTCCCAGCTGCCTTGAGATCATTGACAAGATCCTCCCGTGTAGTTCTGGGCTGATTCCTCACCGTTCTCATGAAATTGCAACTCCACAAAGTGAGATCTTGCATGGAGCCCCAGGCCGAGGGAGATTGACAGTTCTTTTGTGGTTCTTCCATTTGCGAATAATCGCACCAACTGTTGTCACTTTCTCACCAAGCTGCTTGGCAATGGTCTTGTAGCCCATTCCAGCCTTGTGTAGGTCTACAATCTTGTCCCTGACATCCTTGGAGAGCTCTTTGGTCTTGGCCATGGTGGAGAGTTTGGAATATGATTGATTGATTGATTGCTTCTGTGGACAGGTGTCTTTTATATTGGTAACAAGCTGAGATTAGGAGCACTCCATTTAAGAGTGTGCTCCTAATCTCAGCTCGTTACCTGTATAAAAGACACCTGGGAGCCAGAAATCTTTCTGATTGAGAGGGGGTCAAATACTTATTTCCCCTATTAAAATGCAAATCAATTTATAACACTTTTTGACATGCGTTTTTCTGGATTTTTTTGTTGTTATTCTGTCTCTCACTGTTCAAATAAACCTACCATTAAAATTATAGACTGATCATTTCTTTGTCAGTGGGCAAACGTACAAAATCAGCAGGGGATCAAATACTTTTAACCCTCACTGTAGTCGACTTTCGTAATTAAACCCGCCACCACCCGACACAGATAATTAGTAAGGTCTGTCACGTAAACCAAACATATTTAAGACCGAAACAGGAGGATTTATCCACAAATCTGGTTGTCGCCTGATAATGCTGGTTGTAATTACTGGAGAAACGTCGTACTCGAATTGTAAATGTTGTGGGTTTACTTTCCAACACTCCAGTGTGCTGAACTAGTAACCAATTGGCATGTTTTGTTTACGTGACAAACCTTACTAATTGGCTGTGTCGGATGGCGGTGGCGGGTTGAATGACAAATTTAGATTTACGCGATCTAACCCAAAAAAATATGTATTATTGACCTCTTTTGCCCAAACCGCGTGGTCGTGTTAATTTTGAAACAGCACGGCTACAAAAAGTAGAACACATACGCGTATATTTACTTAACATTGCCTGGCCTGACGCACTGTCTATGTTAAAATTATTTGGACGTGGTTTCCCAACCACCATCCAACCCCCACGTCGTCGCCTAGATTCCTGCCCAGGGATGGTGCACCCATCCTGGGCTCGGTCACTAGGCTGCAGTGGGCGGAGGGATGGAGGAGGTGGCGTTGGTGTACGGAATGGGGAAGAGAATGGGAGTGATGGGTACAGGAGTGGTTGCCAAAAACCTCGATGAAAGCGTTGTAGGTTTCCTTCGGGTAATGCAGTTACCGCCCAACGCAAAGCCAAACACTCGTGAATATGAAATACATACGTGAGATTTTCATGACCCACAGTTCGTTTGTTTTGGGTGGGATCGTCTTGCAGGTATAGTGCCACGCACCCTCCAAACGAACCGAATTGTCGCGACGTGGAAAAAAACGTGCCGATTGATTTGATTGTTCAGCAACCCGGCAAGTTTTACAACAACCAAAAATTGTCAACATTCTGCTCGCTTTTGAATGCAGCCGGTTTGGCTTGGAAAAATAAAATCCAAATTGGGGCACATTTGATCTGTTTGGCTGTGCTGGATGGTGGAGGGTTCTGCGTGGCTCCCGTCGATTATCTATAACCCAAAATGAAGCAAATTGTGACTCGTCAATGGAATTGGGCCAAACATCCCAATGCAAGACCCTCTTTAAAAACAACAAACACAAAAACTCTTGAGAGCCTGTGACGCTTTCCTGGGCACACGAAGGGCCTTGCTGTCGCCATAGACGTTTCAAGCCCTAGGCTACGCCAGAGTTTGCGTGCGTCAAAAAAAAAACGCTACGCTTGATAAATGTTGGTCGGGAGGGCCAATAGGCTGATGGAATAAGTAAATAAATAAATAAAAATATTTGCACGTGCAGAGACAGCACGCGAGTTACTTCCCGGTGTACAAGGTAGGCCCTGGGCTGTTACTTGGGCTAGCAGCGGCTGGATCCAAATGGTCATGGAAACGAGGTGAAAGGCAGAAGCGAGGTACGGGGGCACCGATGGGGTGGACACGATGAGAGAGGAAGAGAGGTGAAAAAAAGGGTGGACGCAGAGAGAGAGCAGAGAGGCGGCGTGTGGTTAGGGTCCGTTGGACCAACGTTGGGCCCAACGTTCCATGCCCCCCTCCCCCCTATTCATTCGCGACAAACCAACGGGCCCTTTGTAGGGCCCTCTTTTTGCGCATGGCCCAGCGGGAATGGTCCCCTTTGGCACTCCCGCTCTGGGCGTGCCCCGGATTTAGGGGCAGGGGTTGGCAACCTGCGGCTCCAGAGCCGCATGCGGTGGGCCCTTTACGGACTGCAGTGCGGCTCTTGAAATTCGACGAAAAAATGTCTCTTCTTGTTATTTTGGTTGCCGACCCCAGACCATGGAAGTCCAGTTTGCCATGGAAGTCCAGTTTACCATGGGAGTCCAGTTCACCATGGGAGTCCAGTTTACCATGGAAGTCCAGTTCACCATGGAAGTCCAGTTTACCATGGAAGTCCAGTTCACCATGGGAGTCCAGTTTACCATGGAAGTCCAGTTCACCATGGAAGTCCAGTTCACCATCGAAGTCCAGTTCACCATGGGAGTCCAGTTCACCATGGAAGTCCAGTTTGCCATGGAAGGCCGGTTTGTAAGTCAAATTTACCATGTATGTCCAGTTCACCATGGAAGTCCAGTTCACCATGGAAGTCCAGTTCACCATGGAAGTCCAGTTTGTAAGTCCAATTTACCATGTATGTCCAGTTTACCATGGAAGGCCAGTTCACCATCCAAGTCCAGTTTACCATGGGTAGGGGTTGGCAACCTGTGGCTCTCGAGCCGCAAGTGGTGTGGCTTTGTTAGGGCGGCTTTCGTGACAGTTACATTACCAGGACCCACCTTCTCGTATTCACCATTACAGTACATTGTGTCCCTTTAAATATTGTAGTTTTTTGTTGTTGTTTACCCAATTCGAAAAAAAATTGTCTCTTCTTGTTGTTTTAGTTACCGACCCCCTGAGGTTAGGGGAATTGTTTCCATGAGAGAGATGCTTCATGGACCGGGGTGGGGGTGGGGTACACAGAGATAGAGAGTGAGACGAAGAGCTGCCAGTTGTGAAGCCACAGAGGTGAGACAACTCGACACCAAGTGCAAGGCAGAGACAAAACGCAAATGCAAAAAACGAGGGACGGTGGGGGGTGGGGACGCATGCGTGTACGTGTGCGCGCGTGTGTGTGTGTGTGTGGGCGCGTGTGCGATGCACGCTGTGTTTCTTTCGCACCGTACGTAGCCGACCGCGCTAATCGGGGGGGGGGGGGGGAGGTGCGCAGGATGGACGGCGACAGCAGAAGCGGAAACGCGGCGACGTCCGGGGGAGCGACGGAGAGAGAGAGAACGGGGAGGAGGAGGACACCAAGTGGGGGAAGGGAACAAATTTTAAAACAAACAAACAAAAAACGAATTATTTGGGTCTTTCCGTGAAGTCACGTAGGTAGGTTCAAAGAAAATAACAACAACAAAAAACTACGACGTTTCGATCGCAACGCAAGCGGCCGTCGTCAGGGGTGCGTTGCGATCGAAACGTCGTGGTGTTTTTGTTGTTGTTGTTGTTTTCTTGGAACCTATCCACGTGACTTTTACCGAACGACCCAAAGAGCATGAATTCCTGCAGTCGCGGACGCTTTAAGTCAAGAAACAAAAACAGTCGCGCTCACGGTGCGAGGCATCGAACGCCCCAGCCACCCTTGAGCAAACCCAACGGGTGAACAGAAGCAGGTTGCGATGAAAGTGTACGGAGCGGACGTGCTGGGATGGGGAGCGGTGGTGTAGCGGTTAGCGCTACGCTGCGCTATGAACCCGGCGATCCGGGTTCAATTCCCGCTCACGGCCAACACCCAGTGACGATTACCTGAACCAGTCCTGGGCCTCCCCTAAGTCGACTCAGCCTCAAATGAGTACCTGGTGCGGTGTGTAAACATCGCCACTGGGGAGACAAAGGCGGCCGGGCGTGGTGTTGGCCACCCACCCCCTCGTGTGCCGTGCCGGCCTTCATAGGTGCTGCTCGCTAACAGCACTTGCCCCTACAGTCTGTTAAGGCTACACGAGGGATCTTTGTCTTTGTCTCATGGCGTGTATGGCGGTGGACTGGTGGTGTAGCGGTTAGCGCTACGCTGCGCTACGAATCCGGCGACCCGAGTTCAATTCCCGCTCGCGACCAACACCGGTGGCGACCATCTGAACCGGTCCTGGGCCTTCCCTAGGTCGACTCAGCCTTAAATGAGTACCTGGCGTGGTTTGCAAACATCGCCACCGGGGAGACAAAGGCGGTTGGGCGTGGCACTGGACAGCCACGCCCTCGTGTACCCTGCCGGCCTTTATAGATGATCGCTATCAGCACTTGCCCCAACGGTCTGTGAACGCTGTACGGGGGATCTTTGTTGGTAATGTTTGCGGGTGATGCTGGCATGCGATTCTGCGGTAAAAACGCAGCAGGTTGGCACTGCAGGCGGCGCAGCTGGTGGTGCATCGGCCAGTCAACTCGTTCAGTCAACCCATGGCACCTGCTGGGTCTGTCCCGTGACCTCCTGTCAGCAGCAAGCCTCCTCCGACACTGCACGTGACTGCCTCAATTGTGCACCTAGTGGCGAATGGCGGGTATTGGTATCGGTACGATTCAGCGTACGTCTGCGTGTGTGTGTGTGTGTACGTAGGGGCGTGTGTGCGTGCATCTTCGTGTTTGTGTGCAACTCTTGTTATTTTGGTTACCGTGGAAATCCAGTTCACCATGGAAGTTCAGTTTACCATGGGAGTCCAGTTCACCATGGGAGTTCAGTTTACCATGGGAGTTCAGTTTACAATGAGAGTCCAGTTACCAAGGGAGTCCAGTTCACCATGGAAGTCCAGTTCACCATGGAAGTGCAGTTTACCATGGAAGTCCAGTTCACCGTGGAAATCTAGTTTACCATGTAAGTCCAGTTCACCATGTAAGTCCAGTTTACCATGGAAGTCCAGTTCACCGTGGAAGTCCAGTTTACCATGAGAGTCCAGTGTACCATGGAAGTCCAGTTTACCATGGAAGTCCAGTTTACCATGGAAGTCCAGTTTACCATGGAAGTCCAGTTTACCATGAGAGTCCAGTTTACCATGGAAGTGTAGAACACGGACCGCGAGCGTCGAGGAGAGAATGGGTGCCCGGTGACCTCACCGGTACTGCTGTTTGGTGTCGCAGCGGCCGGCGTTGGACTCGCGGAGTTTGGTCGCGAGCACGCGGACGATGTTGATGAACAAGATAAAGTTCACCTTGCGATGGGGGGACAGGGGGGGGCGGGGGGGGGAGGAAGGGGTCGCAGGTAGGGAAACGTAACGAAGCGTCGGTCAACCTTGATTTGAAGGTCGACGTCGATTCCCCACACTCGCGACAAAGCGAACGAAAAGCCACGAAGATCCCCCGGCCGCCACCCCCGCCCCGTACAGCCTGAACAGAATTTCTGTGCCGGAAAGTCGCGCCACGAATGCGGCACAAGTGTCCGGCCGCCGAGACCGCCGCTCTCGTTCCCTCCGCTCGGCGCTGGGGTGGCTGCCAACGCAGCCTTCGCCTCGCCCCACCGCGGCCGTTTCACTTCGGCGACACGGGGTTTAATGTTTTTCTCTATCCCCCCAGCGTCTCCCTGAGACCCCCCACCTCCCCCCCCTCCCCCCCCCCCCCCACCACCTCCACCCCGCCCAGTAGAAGTGGAACGTTGGGCCCAACGTTGGTCCGACGGTACCAATCGCGACGCCGCCGGCCTGCATCTCTCACCGCGTCCCACACCCAATGGTCACCTCTCTTCCTCTCTCACCGTGGTCCACCCCGGGTCACCCACCCACCCCACGCCACCGGGGCCTCCTTGGAGTACGGACGGTTCCTTTTCACACCCGGTGGCTCGTTGAAGGGTGAAAGAAAAGTCACGGCAGCTTACCAGGATGGCCAGCAGGATGGGCACCTGGTAGATCCATTTGAAGTTGCCAGCACTGAGGTCCCAGCACCTGTTTCGCAGAGCCAGAAACATTAACCGTCGTCACCACGTAGTAGTAGTAGTAATAATAATAATAAGAGTAGTACATTTTATCTTGTAACGTGCCACACGGAATTCGCTCGCTCTTGAAGAGATAGAGAGAAAGAACGATGCACAGGCGCGGGGAGGAGCCACGGACTAGCCGGAAAGGCAGCGGCCACGCGGCAGAGCCGGCGCCAACAAATGCCCAAGCTCTGCGTTCCTCTCCGTGTCAAGATGCTTCAGCCAATCGATGAGTCGCGGGGTGAAACCGGAGCGCCTGGGGAAAAAAAAAACCACGACTTCCACTCTCCCACCCCTCCAGTGCCGGATTATCTTAGTAGCACAAGTAGCTACAGATGCTACGGGCCCCGCACCTTCAAGGGCCCCGCGCTAAACGCTTCCAAGCTCTCAATTCCGGTTCAGTGATTCTGCGCTTGCTCTATTACTATAGTACTATACCGCCTTCAACTTTTACGAACGACCGGGTGTTTAAGGTTAGCGATCTGTCGCATCATCTGGCCGCATAGCGAATGAAAAAATACAATTACTTGACTACGCGAGTAAAACATTCGTGTTCTGTTTTTATTTATTTAGGGCCCCTTTATAACATCAAATGCTACAGGCCCCGCACTTAGCTTCATCCGACACTGCCCCCCCCCCCACCCACCCCCCCCCCCCCCCCCCCCCCCCCCCCCCACTAAGCCACCACCGCCAAAGTCGTGACGTAATAATCCACCGAGCGGCTGGGCTCCAGGGGTGCGTGGCACGTGGCCACGGAGAGTCACACCGGCTGTGGCGAGGCCCCTGCCCCCCCCCCCCCCCCGATCTCGTGCCTTGCTGGCGCTAACGCATCAAACGCAGCGTCCGTGGGGGGCGCCACGGTGGCGAGGAGATGTTATCTCCCTCCCCTGGCACGCGGGAGGTTCGTGGGCTCGATCCAGACCCTGGCGATGCCTCCTGTTGTGATCATTGGAGTCATCAAAATTCTCTCCCCTGTAGGCGGTCAGCGGGTTCCTGTTGAAATTTCCTCCCCACCCCTAAGCCAACCCGCCCCGACCCTTCACATTGAGAATCAACTCGCGTTCTATAAATCGGCCCCGTGTGACGATGACGATGACGACGACGATGATGATGCTGCTGCTGCTGATGATGAAGATGATATCGGCCGCTGCGATGAGCGATTTACGTGTGGCCAGGTCGCCTCTGAAAAAAGAGCTCAGCTCAGTGAGATGTTTTAATTGGGTAAGAACGAAAAAAGAGTTGCGTGTGTGTGCGTGGCAGAGAGAGAGAGAGGCTCTCGCAATAATGTACTGTGTATAACATGAAGAACGGTGATTAATGATACGTACTGAGTGTCGGCAAAAGTCGCTCTCACGCTAACCCAGGCCGCCACAAACACAGCTGGCACGCCTGGTGGAAGAGCACACAACGCACACATTTGTGTTTTACCGTGACCTTAAGATCATAAGATGCTCTGGAAAGTAAGATCTCACCCACGAAACGTAGTTTGTTCTCTTCACTCCCCCCCCCACCCCCGGTGTCAATAAAGTTATATGAATCTGATAAAACAAACGAGACTACGATCACCCGTGTAGCCTCCACAGACTTTTGTGGGGCAAGTGCTGTCCGCGAACACCTACGTAGACCGGGTCGCCGGGTTCGTAGCGCAGCGCGCTAACCGCTGCACCACCGCACCCCACTAAACAAACGCGCGCACACACGTAGCCACGTAGACACCCGCACGCACGCACCTACACGAACACAACAACAATAATAATGTACATTTACGAGGCACAATTCATCCAGGGACCTCAGTGCTCCGTGCGCGAAATTTTGAAACGGAAACATTGCAAAGTCCACGGGGCCATGCGTGTGCAGTGATTCTGAACCGTCTATTGCAGCCTGGTTCTCAGAAAGGGCATCTTGCACCCCACCCGCCCCCCCCCCCAGCGGTTTGCGACGCCCCCCGGGATTAAGAACCACCTGGTCGACACGCGGCGCGAGTCTGCGCAGAGGAGACCGAAACGGTGGCCGAGTGCCCTGCCGCTGGCTGCAGGGAGCCATTCCCCACGTGTCTTGGAGCAGCGCCACAGGCAGACGCCTTGCTTTGAATGCACGTGGTACGAAAGGTGTCGCCTCTGTTTACTGGTTACTCTGGGGGGGGGGAGGCAGTAGGGCGGTGGGGGCGGGGGTGTCCTTTACCACAGGGGGGTCCCCAACCCCCGGGACACGGACCGGTACCGGTACCGTGGGTTGTTAGGAACCGGGCCGCACAGCAGCAGCAGGAGGTGAGAGCGGTGAGTCCGCACGTGGCCCGCCCCATTATTTTATTATTTACCACTTCCGTCCGGGTCTCTATCCCTCACTGCGAACTTGTCTCAGTCACGTGGTGTTGGTAAGCCCACAAGCTCTAACCCCTGGTAGCCACAATGAGTAAGCCCACAAGCTAACCCCCTAGCAGCCACAATGAGTAAGCCCACAAGCTAACCCCTAGTAGCCACAATGAGTAAACCCACAAGCTAACCCCCTAGTAGCCACAATGAGTAAGCCCACAAGCTAACCCCCTAGTAGCCACAATGAGTAAGCCCACAAGCTCTAACCCCTAGTAGCCACAATGAGTAAGCCCACAAGCTGACCCCTAATAGCCACAAGGAATAAGCCCACAAGCTGACCCCTAGTAGCCACAAGGAGTAAGCCCACAAGCTCTAACCCCTAGTAGCCACAATGAGTAAGCCCACAAGCTAACACCTAGTATCCACAATGAGTTAGCCCACAAGCTAACCCCTAGTAGCCACAATGAGTAAGCCCACAAGCTAACCCCTAGTAGCCACAATGAGTAAGCCCACAAGCTGACCCCCTAGTAGCCACAATGAGTAAGCCCACAAGCTAACCCCTAGTAGCCACAATGAGTAAGCCCACAAGCTAACCCCTAGTAGCCACAATGTGTAAGCCCACAAGCTAACCCCTAGTAGCCACAATGAGTAAGCCCACAAGCTAACCCCTAGTAGCCACAATGAGTAAGCCCACAAGCTAACCCTAGTAGCCACAATGAGTAAGCCCACAAGCTAACCCCTAGTAGCCACAATGAGTGGCTCTCGCTGGAGAGCTTCTTTGAAAAGGGGGAAAGACCCAATGATGAACACCCCCTGCCGCTCCCGTCCCCCCCCCCCCCCCCACTCTGGTCCGTGAAAAAATTGTCCCTGGTGCCACAAAGGTTGTGGACCCGCTGCTAGTTTACCCCATCCGATGAGCGTGAAGCCGCCGAGGTACTTCTTGTCGGAGAAGAACGCCATGAAGATGAGGCTGTGCAGGTAGAGTCCCTCGACCAGGATCCAGTAGTAGTTCGTCGCGAGGAAATAGAGGAAGAGCGTCACCACCACCTTGCAGCCCACCTGCAGGGAGGGCCCGCACACGCCACAAACAGCAGCGCCGCTGCTCAAACGATGCGCGGCTCGGCGCCTGCTCGTTCCCAGACGTCAACGACATCGCCCGGCATGCAGGAGGTCGTGGGGTTCGATCGCGACCTTATTTGGAGCTTGCGTGTTCTCTTTTCCCCGTGGTCGCGTGGATTTTTCTCCGGGTCATTCCGAGATGTTAACAACCTCGCCCGGCATGCAGGAGGTCGTGGGGTTCGATCAGCGACCTTATTTGGAGCTTGCGTGTTCTCTTTTCCCCGTGGTCGCGTGGATTTTTCTCCGGGTCATTCCGAGATGTTAACAACCTCGCCCGGCATGCAGGAGGTCGTGGGGTTCGATCCCGACCTTATTTGGAGTTTGCGTGTTCTCTTTTCCCCGTGGTCGCGTGCATTTTTCTCCGGGTCATTCCGAGATGTTAACAACCTCGCCCGGCATGCAGGAGGTCGTGGGGTTCGATCCCGACCTTATTTGGAGCTTGCGTGTTCTCTTTTCCCCGTGGACGCGTGGATTTTTCTCCGGGTCATTCCGAGATGTTAACAACCTCGCTCGGCATGCAGGAGGTCGTGGGGTTCGATCCCGACCTTATTTGGAGCTTGCGTGTTCTCTTTTCCCCGTGGACGCGTGGATTTTTCTCCGGGTCATTCCGAGATGTTAACAACCTCGCCCGGTATGCAGGAGGTCGTGGGGTTCGATCCCGACCTTATTTGGAGCTTGCGTGTTCTCTTTTCTCCGTGGACGCGTGGATTTTTCTCCGGGTCATTCCGAGATGTTAACAACCTCGCCCGGCATGCAGGAGGTCGTGGGGTTCGATCCCGACCTTATTTGGAGTTTGCGTGTTCTCTTTTCCCCGTGGACGCGTGGATTTTTCTCCGGGTCATTCCGAGATGTTAACAACCTCGCCCGGCATGCAGGAGGTCGTGGGGTTCGATCCCGACCTTATTTGGAGCTTGCATGTTCTCTTTTCTCCGTGGACGCGTGGATTTTTCTCCGGGTCATTCCGAGATGTTAACAACCTCGCCCGGCATGCAGGAGGTCGTGGGGTTCGATCCCGACCTTATTTGGAGTTTGCGTGTTCTCTTTTCCCCGTGGTCGCGTGGATTTTTCTCCGGGTCATTCCGAGATGTTAACAACCTCGCCCGGTATGCAGGAGGTCGTGGGGTTCGATCCCGACCTTATTTGGAGTTTGCGTGTTCTCTTTTCCCCGTGGACGCGTGGATTTTTCTCCGGGTCATTCCGAGATTTCGATTTAAAGCTTTCTTGACTGCAAGGATTCACCTTCTTTGGTTCTTTCGGTAAATCATATTCTTAGTTCTTTCGGTAAAGTCACGTTTAAGGGAAACAACAAAATAATAAAATATATATAAAACAATACCATGAGAGATTCGTTCATGAGGCTATCCACATATACAAGCACAGAGACAATTTCAACCGAGAAAATGGATTCTGGCTTAGCAATCATTGGAAAGATTTGATAAACAATTTCAGGTCTTAATTGATTGTTCACGCTTACAGTGGCTTTCAGACAGCATACATAAAAAAAAAATCGTCTCCCCCCTCCTCTTTTCAGAACATAGATGGACTAGTCCGTCTAAATAAACTGCCAAATCGCTGCGCGTGGCGCTAACGTTTTTTATAAATAAATAAATGCACCGTTTAAAAATAAAGAAATTTATGCAAACCGACACACCTGAAGACGACCGTTTGTGTTATGGTTGAAACGTCGTGAGGATTTTTATTGTTTTATATATATTATTATTTTGTTGTTTCCCTTAAACGTGACTTTACCGAAAGAACTAAGAATATGAATTACTGCAGTCACGAAAGCTTTAAATCAAAATTTCTTTCGGTAAAGTCACGTAGAATGAGAATAAAATTATAAAATAACACAATCAAATTCCCGTAGGTCTGTACCTTTCACCTGAAGACGGCCGCTTGCGTTGTGGCCGAAACGTCGTGAGAATTTTATTGTTTTATATTATTATTTTATTCTCATTCTACGTGACTTTACCGAAAGAACCAAAGAAGATCATTCCGAGATGTTAACAACCTCGCCCGGTATGCAGGAGGTCGTTGGTTCAATCGGACCCTGACGCCTGCTGCTGTATATCTGAAGTTTGCATGTCTCTCTCTCTCTCTTATTCTATTTTGAAATCTCGATTGAAAACGAACTTCTTCAGAACTTCCTTTGGTGTTAAGTTTGTTACTTCCGCGCGAAAAGAGTTCAACACACGTACACACAACGCACCTCCGATGAGCACGGTGGGCTACGTACGGTATGAAAGAAGTTCAGCGTACACACAATTGTTTGACGATGGATACACGCACCTTAGATGCATGTGCACATCTCCTATCACATTCGGCTGCCGTGATGATTTTGTGTGACGATCCAATCTTCGCCAGAGTCCAAATTTTTATTATTAGTTTTTTTTTTAGAAAACCCAGTGGGGACCGTTGTCGTGGTACATTTATGGGGGTAAGGGGCCGTCCATAAATGACGTCAAGCGATTTTGGACGATTTTTGACCCCCACCCTCCCCTCGTCACACGGCGTCACAAAAAGTCAGACCGCACCCCCCCCCCTCAAATATGACGTCACAAAGCTCTGCCCCCCCCCAAAAAAAATCAAACACGCTTCAAATCGCTATAAACTATTGTCATTGTAGTGCGTTTTTAATGTGGCGCTGCACTCTGATGTTGTAGGAGAAAACATTTATTAAAAAGTCTAATTAAGTAGAACGTGTTTGTCTATATTTATGTAAAGTTGCGCATTTTGATGTGACGTCATATTTCTCACCCCCCCCCCCGTCACGCATCGTCACAAATGCTGACCCCCCCCCCACCCGCCCTAGGTGCGTGACGTCATTTATGAACAACCCCTAATTTAAAAAAAAAGATTTAAAAAAAAAGTAATCTCCATTCCGTGTCTCTAGCCGTCAGTGGTGAAACGCGTTTGGGCCCAATCCACCGATTGTCTCTACAACTAGGTGCATCAGGCGACAGCCAGAACCCCGACTCTGCCGATGAGACCCAGAAGGTTGAAACCGGGCCCAACTGCAGCTCAGTTAATATTGGTTCGCACCGCCAATGGGTCGGTTGAAGCAAAACCGAGTGGTTATTTATACGTGGAGAGGCAGAAAAAATTGAGTCTTGCTTACATTTGCTCTCACCCAATGTTATTTTAGATGTTTTTTTTTTTTTAAACAAAAAACATTTCGCTAACTTAACCTCGGATTAAAAAGACGAAACATCATTTAACATGAAGAAAGAAAATAATCTCCCACCACAAAAAAAAATGTATCCACGCGCATTTGCAGAAATGGGATTACTCAGAAAACCCTTATGTCGAACTCCCGTAACACCGCGGACACACCACGGCAATATCCAGGGTGTTGATGGAGAGCTCTCGGAGGACCCCGTTACAATTTGGGCTTCAAGATTAACGAAGGGCCGCAACAACATTGCCGTGAGAACTCCCGTGGCAAAAAAAAAACATAAATACGATGGAGCCTACGGCTCCCCCCCTACTGCCTCCCCCCCGCCACCCCCTATCCCCCCGACCACCACTCCCCCCACCACCACCCCCCACCACTCCCCAACACCCCCCCCCCCCACCACTCCTACTCCTTCGACTTGCTAACAATGTTGTTGTTGCTGCTGCTGCTGTTGTTGTTGACGCCCTGCTCGCGTACGTACGTATTGCATCTTGTCCTGCGGTGCCTCGCTGATCACGCGGAGCTCGTCGGCCGCGAAGCCCTCGACGTCGTGGATCCCCGAGCGCGAGTAGAGCACCGAGTCCTTGACGAAGATGCTCACCGCTCGCAGCATGAACGACACGAAGAGGTGCGTGTGGATGTAGTTGCGCGTGCAGTGCAGGCGCCTGCGGAGGGTGGGGCGGGGTGGAGTGTGGTGAGGTGTGGTGGGTGTGGTGGGTGGGTGGGGTGGGGTGTAGTGGGGTGAGGTGGGTGGGGTGGGTGGAGTGAGGTGAGGTGGGTGGGGTGGGTGGGGTGTGGTGGGTTCGGTGTGGTGGGTAGGGTGGGGTGAGGTGGGTGGGGTGTGGTGGGTGGGGTGGGGTGAGGTGGGTGGGGTGAGGTGGGGTGTGGTGGGTGGGGTGCGGTGGGGTGGGGTGGGTGGGGTGTGGTGGGTGGGTGGGGTGAGGTGGTGTGGGGAACACAACAACAACAACAACGGAGGAACTCAGATAAACACTTCACATCTAATCACACTTCACTTCGATGGCACAGATCGTGTAAAGATTGCCATGCATAGGGCTTTATAGGATCGTGTGGGGGGAGTGTGGGGGGCGTGTGGGGGAGTGTGGGGGGAGTGTGGGGGGAGTGTGGGGGGGAGTTTGGGGAGGAGTTTGGGGAGGAGTGTGGGGGGGAGTGTGGGGGGAGTGTGGGGGAGTGTGGGGGGAGTGTGGGGGGTGTGTGGGGGGGAGTGTGGGGAGGAGTGTGGGGGGGAGTGTGGGGGGAGTGTGGGGGAGTGTGGGGAGGAGTGTGGGGAGAGTGTGGGGGGGAGTGTGGGGGGAGTGTGGGGGGAGTGTGGGGGGGAGTGTGGGGTGAGTGTGGTGGGAGTTTGGGGAGGAGTGTGGGTAGAGTGTGGGGGGGAGTGTGGGGGGAGTGTGGGGGGAGTGTGGGGGGGAGTGTGGGGTGAGTGTGGTGGGAGTGTGGGGGGCTTGTGGGGGAGGTTTGGGCCAAAATTTGGCAGGAGTCGTCCCGACGTCACTGGTCGAGTCCACGAGTCTCCACCCCCTCCCCCCTCCCCTGAATATTGGGAACGTCAGTAAATGAAGATCTATCGATTGATCTATCGGCGTTCTCTCGATCGGGGGAGGGGGGGGTTCACGCTCGCCGCGTTTCGTTGAATGACGAGGACCGCCCACGCGTTTGCGGTGGATCCACGGTCGGGGGGGGGGCTAGAGGGTGGGGGAGGGTGGAGGGGAATGGGGAGCCGGGGGGGGTGGATGGGGGGAGGGGGTTCAAGATGAGAGGGGCAGGGAAGGGGGGGGGGGGCACCAACTGAGCAGGGTCCACGTGACTGGCGCTGCCATGCGGAGAGCCACGACCCGGCAAAGAGCGGTTTTGTTGTCGGAACTTCTCTCGTCCCTCCCCCCTGCCCTCCCCCTGCCCCCTGCCCCCCCCCCCCCCTTGCCCCCCCTCCCCCCCACTGGACATCCGGAAAGACCACCACTGAGCCGTCTTCATCCCAAAAATGTCCTCTCAAACAAAATCCGCCAATTACCTAGGGGACCGCTCGGTTCCTCCCAGCGCCCTCCCTCCCTCCCTTTAAGAGTGTGCTCCTAATGTCAGCAGCTCGTTACCTGTATAAAAGACACCTGGGAGACAGAAATCTTTCTGATTGAGAGGGGGTCAAATACTTGATTTCCCTCATTAAAATTCAAATCAATTTATAACATTTTTGACATGCGTTTTTTCTGGATTTTGTTGTTGTTGTTATTATTCTGTCTCTCGCCGTTCAAATAAACCTACCATTAAAATTATAGATTGATCATTTCTTTGTCAGTGGGCAAACGTACAAAATCAGCAGGGGATCAAATATTTTTGTAGTTTCCCTCACTGTACACAGCTCAGTGGACCTTAACCTGATGAAAATAAAAATTAAAATCGCGGTGTCCTCGTTGTCGTCCGTGCTGCTGCTGCTGCTGTCGCTCACTCAGCACCGCGGATCTCCCGTGTGAGACAAACAGAACACTTGCCCAGGGCAACAACCGGCCAAACGGGAACCAATCCACGCAGCAACCTTAGGGGGCCGTCCATAAATGACGTCACGCGATTTTGAACGATTTTTGACCCCTTCCCCTCTCCCCTCCCCTCGTCACACGACGTCACAAAAAGTCAGACCCCCCCTCCCTTAAATATGACGTCACAAAGCTCTGCCCCCCCCCCCCCCAAAAAAAGACAGAGAGACAGACAGAGAGAGACAGAGAGAGACAGAGAGAGAAAGACAGAGAGAGAGACAGACAGAGAGAGAGACAGACAGAGAGAGACAAAGAGAAAGACAGAGAGAGAGAGAGACAGAGAGAGAGACAGAGAGAGAAAGACAGAGAGAGACAGACAGAGAGAGAGACAGAGAGAGAGAGAGGGGGGGGAGCGTAGCGGGGGGAATCGCGTCGCCTCACTTGAAGTAGCCGAGGACGAAGACTGCCACGGACAGGGAGCTGACGGACACGGAGTAGCCCACGGTGTACATCACGTACAGCCGCTCGAACACGTCCTGCGTGCGAGACGGACAAAGATCCCCGGCACCGCCGTTGCCGCCTTCGACAGGCCCGCTGGAGGGGTGGGGGGGGGCACGGCACAGTGCCGTCAGCTAGCACGCCCCGCCCGCCCGCCTTTGTCTCCCCGGCAAAAACGATGTTCGCATCTGCGATTGGCACGGCCGGCTACGTACGGCGCGAAAGAAGTTTAAACGCACGGAGCGAAATGAAAATTTCTCGGCGGCGCGTGGCAGCGGCGTCGGCGAGTGGCGCGCGACCGGTTCCTGGGAAACTCCGCGTGGGGTTTGGGGCGCCGAACCTTCGTCCTCATGTGGAGCTCTGGCCGGAGGAACTGGGCGCACTCCGAGTAGTTGGCCCAGGTCTTGTTGACGCCGCCCGCGATGAAGAGCCACGTGCCGTTGGCAGTGCAGTGGCGGTGGGCCATGCCTGGCGGAGGGAGGGAGGGTGGCGGTGGACGTGGGCGAGGGACGTCCCGTCGATCCGAGCGGATGATGATGATGATGACGACGACGACGGTGACGGTGGTGGAGGAGGAGAAGGAGAGTGAGATTGGGAGGAATGAGTTGAAAGGAGAATGAGATGACGGAGAATGAGGTGGAGGAGAGTGAGTTGATTAAGAATGAGCAGAGGGTGATGAAGAAGAATGAGATGAGGAAGAATGAGATGAGGAAGAATGATATGAAGGAGAATGAGATGAAGGAGAATGAGTTGAATAAGAATGAGCAGAGGGTGATGAAGAAGAATGAGATGAAGGAGAATGAGATGAGGAAGAATGATATGAAGGAGAATGAGTTGAATAAGAATGAGATGAAGAACAATGAGATGAAGAAGAATGATATGAATAAGAATGAGATGAGGAAGAATGAGATGAAGGAGAATGAGTTGAATAAGAATGAGATGAAGGAGAATGAGTTGAATAAGAATGAGATGAATAAGAATGAGATGAATAAAGAGTTGCAGGAGAATGAGATGAAGAGGAAAGAAAATAGGAATTGGATAAAGAATTAGATTTAAAAAAAAACAATGAGATGTAAAATAATGAGATGAATAAGAATGAGATGAGGAAGAAGAATAAGATCATTAACCGATGATTAAACAAACCGATTCGTAATTTATATTGGGGCCAGATCGCGCGTTCCACGTTCACTGCGATGCCACGTGACCCTTCCGGTGGGACCCCCCCCCCCCCGTCTGACCCCCCCCCGTCCGCCCCCCCCCCCCCTATCCCACCGGGCCCCCACCCCCCTTATTAATTAAATAGCGACACGCAAACCGCCCCCCCCCCATCTCTCTCTGCCTCTCTCTCGCGAGCGTGAGGCCTGGGGCGGAATTTCCCCTTTCACCCCCCCCCCGCCCCCCCCCCGACCCCCCTGGATTGCCCTGGTGAAGCAGTCAAATGTCATCTTAGCCACCGACAGCGAGCGGATGGCAATACACGTGGCAAAAACAATAAACAACAGACGTCAACAACAACCAGTCAACAAACATCAATCAATTAAGGGGGTGAGGAGGAGGAGGAGGAGAAGGGAGACCACCTTAAGCGCATAAACGCCGTGCAAAATAAATCTATCCAGTGGCAGTATTTGTCAGCTTGAGAGAAAACCAACGAGTTTGAGAAATCCCCGAAAGAACGCTCCAGCCTAGAAATAGCCACTCGACTGGGAGAGAGCCTCCACACGGCACTCACTCACTGGCTCACCCTCTCACTGGCTCACTGGCTCACTCTCTCACTCACTGGCTCACTCACTGACTCACTTACTCTCTCACATGCTCACTGGCTCACTCTCTCTCTCACTCACTCTCTCACATGCTCACTGGCTCACTCCTTCACTGGCTCACTCACTCTCTCACATGCTCACTGGCTCACTCTCTTACTGGCTCACTCACTCTCTCACTCACTCACTGGCTCACTCTCTCACTCACTGGCTCACTCTCTCACTCGCTCGCTCACTCACTGGCTCACTGGCTCACTCGCTCGCTCACTCACTCACTCGCTCGCTCACTCACTCGCTCACTCACTCACTGGCTCACTCTTTCACTCGCTCGCTCACTCACTCACTCGCTCGCTCACTCACTGGCTCACTGGCTCACTCTCTCACTCACTGGCTCACTCACTCACTGACTCGCTCTCTCACTCAATGGCTCATCCACTCACTCACTCGCCCGCTCACTCACTGGCTCACTCACTTACTGGCTCGCTAAGTCACTCGCTCTCTTGCTCTCTCTCGCTCTCAACGACTCCTTCTCTCTCCCTCTCACTCACTCACATGCTCACTCACTGGCGCACTCTCTCACTGGCTCACTCTCTCACTCACATGTTCATTCACTGGCTCACTGTCTCACTGGCTCGTTCACACACTCACATGCTCACTCACTGGCTCACTGTCTCACTGGCTCGTTCACACACTCACATGCTCACTCACTGGCTCACTCTCTCACCGGCTCGCTAACTCACTCACTCGCTCGCTCGCCCTCTCTCTCGCTCTCACCGACTCGCTCTCTCTCCCTCTCACTCACGGACTCACTCGCTCGTACCCTGGTGATTGAAGTCGTAGATGTATTCGGGGCAATGAACAGACACGAGGCTTCCGAGGGTTCCCGCGGGCCAGCAAATAATCCCGTCCCATTCTGGGGAACAGTGGCGATCTGCGGGAGCAAATGATGCGCAGCACAAGACGGATTCCTCAACCTGAATCATGCGGCTCGCAGGTTAAATCGCCAAACGAGGGACTTCGATGCCAACAGCCAAAACTTTCAGTTAATTTTAACGTTACCCCCGTGAGCTAAGAAGGCACTTGAATCGGGGGTTGTCATCGACCAAAAGCATCGGTTTCCCTGGCAAACGCAACATAATAGGTCGCGATAAAAAATTTTTATTAAAAGGAATACACAATTAAGGAGGGGGGGGGGGAATGGCAACAAATCACGTAAATGTAGAGTGTGTTACGAAGTTATCTTTTAAATATTTCACTAAAGTGAGGATCATGATAAAAAGAACGCGTTGCAAATAAGGCACAAAAAACGCAAATGGTAAAATAGTTTCCCCGAGAAACATCAACATTTAAACCTACAGTAATGATGGCAACAATCGCGATATTGCACCCGAGTCAGAATAACGCAGCGTCTCCAAATAACGAGCACGTTGACGGTGCAGACGGTGCCAATCATGGCAATGGTGCCGACGGTGGCAATGGTGGCAATGGTGGCAACGGTGGCAACGGTGGCAATGGTGGCAATGGTGGCAATGGTGGCAATGGTGCCGACGGTGGCAACGGTGGCAATGGTGGCAATGGTGGCAACGGTGGCAATGGTGGCAATGGTGGCAATGGTGGCAACGGTGGCAATGGTGGCAATGGTGGCAATGGTGGCAACGGTGGCAACGGTGGCAATGGTGGCAATGGTGGCAACGGTGGCAATGGTGGCAATGGTGGCAATGGTGGCAATGGTGGCAACGGTGGCAATGATGGCAATGGTGGCAACGGTGGCAATGGTGGCAATGGTGGCAATGGTGGCAACGGTGGCAACGGTGGCAATGGTGGCAATGGTGGCAACGGTGGCAATGGTGGCAATGGTGGCAATGGTGGCAACGGTGGCAATGGTGGCAATGGTGGCAATGGTGCCAAAACAACGGCCGGGCTCGCAGTTAACGGGTCCGCCAATTCGATTCGCTCGAGCTCCCTCCACGGTGGCGCGGAAATCTCCGAAAATCATCTCCCACCCCGCCGCCGTTCAGCCCGCCCGTCCACGCGGTGTAAAAGGGGGAAAGGGGTGGGGGGGGAGGGGGGCGGTGTTCTTCGTGTGCGAAAAAACGAAGAGGTTTTTTTTTTTTTACCACCCTTTGTGTCAATGAGACGGGAGTTGTGTTGAGATGTTCACACGCCAAGTGAGTATCCTCTCGCAAGGAATCAAGGTAAAGCGGTAACCCGCAAACAGTGCTCGAGGTGAAAATTGCAAACAAACACTCAGCCGGTCATCCTGGCAGCAGCAGCAGCAGCGGCGGCAGCGGCGTTCAGCTGGCCGTCGAACAACACCCAGAGCCAGATTCGCGTAAAAACTAAAGTTGAATTGTCGTCGAGGGCTCGGCGGATTTTGTTTGTTGAACTTCTTTCGCACCGTCACGTAGCCAACCGTGCTAATTGGAGGTGCAGGGAAAAGGACAAAAATCTGTAACGCAAAACGCAGTTCTAAAGAAAGTATTGTTGACAACCTAGATGATTAAAAAGTGCAAAGCTCCCAGTAGCTTCCTAATATCGGAAACCGAAGAGCGTTCCAGACGGCCGCGGAAGCGCAGCTGAGAGCGCGCGACACGGTGACCACCGTCTTTGTTCGATGGCTGAATCATTGGTGCAAGGTGTCTTAAATCATTGTTTTAAATCATTGTCTTAAAGCATTGGTGCAACGTGTCTTAAATCATTGTTTTAAATAATTGTCTTAAATCATTGGTGCAAGGTGTCTTAAATCATTCTCTTAAATCATTGTTCTAAATAATTGTCTTAAATCATTTGTGGAATGTGTCTTAAATCATTGTCTTAAATCTTTGTTCTAAATCATTGTGGTAAATCATTGGTGCAAGGTGTCTTGAATCAGTTTTAAATCATTGTCTTAAATCATTGGTGCAAGGTGTCTTAAATCATTGTCTTAAATCATTGTCCTAAATCATTGTGGTAAATCATTGGTGCAAGGTGTCTTAAATCATTGGTGCAAGGTGTCTTAAATCTTTGTCTTAAATCATTGTTCTAAATCATTGTGGTAAATCATTGGTGCAAGGTGTCTTAAATCATTGGTGCAAGGTGTCTTAAATCATTGTCGTAAATCATTGTCTTAAATCATTGGTGCCAGGTGTTTTAAATCTTTGTCTTAAATCATTGTTCTAAATCATTGTGGTAAATCATTGGTGCAAGGTGTCTTAAATCATTGGTGCAAGGTGTCTTAAATAATTGTCGTGAATCATTGTCTTAAATCATTGGTGCCAGGTGTCTTAAATCTTTGTCTTAAATCATTATCGTAAATCATTGTCTTAAATCATTGGTGCAAGGTGTCTTAAATCATTATCGTAAATCATTGTCTTAAATCATTGGTGCAAGGTGTCTTAAATCATTGTCTTAAATCACTGCTGCCTCTGTCCACCCTGCAGTAGTAACGGGTTCCCCATAGTCGTGTTGTGTGTGGTGGGGTAGGCTTTGGGTATTCCCACCTCTTCCAAGATGGCTTGCCAGCATTGGAAGAGTAGGCCAAATACCCTCCACGAAAGGGGCTCTCTTGAGCTCTTCCTCCAGCAGGGCTGTGTCTGTACCTTTAACTATCATAATTATTATCATACTCTTTGGTTCTATTCGGTAAAGTCACGTAGGTAAAAAAATAAAACAACAAAAATCACGACGTTTCGGCCACAACACAAGCGGCCTTCATCAGGTGAAGGGACCAGACTGTCTCGAAGACTGCGCTGGAGTGAAACAGAACCTTGGTATCGGAGAAAATTATTCTTTGCAAACCCACGGGTTTTTATCAGAGATTTGTTCACGAGGCAATTCAGATCTACAAACACACAATTTCAACGAGAAGATGGTTTCAAATTAAGCAACCATTGGAAAGATGTTCTAAATCGAACCAAACATTAAACTAATTTTTCAATGGTACAGTATATTTTTCAAGTAGTGGTATCCCAAACTTCTTAAAATCCCCTTTTCACACCACCAGCATGTGGACGCTGCCGTGCCCCCTCGCCAGCCTGCACAGGTCGACCCCCTCCCTACCTCTCATCATGCTAAGTCCGCCTATTAAAAGTCAAATTTACATGCTAATTCCTTTGTCAAGGCACCTTAATTACTCTCACACAGCTTAAAGGCCGTGGTCTGAGCGTGGCTGTGTTTCACTCCAGCGCAGTCTTTGAGACAGTCTCGTCCCTTCACCTGATGAAGGCCGCTTGTGTTGTGGCCGAAACGTCGTGATTTTTGTTGTTTTGTTTTTTACCTACGTGACTTTACCGAATAGAACCAAAGAGTATGGATCCTTGCAGTCACGAAAGCTTCAAATCTAGAAATAATTATTATCATAATACTGTTATCATACTAATTATTATTATTATCATTATGTTGTCATATTAATAATCATTATCATCATACTATTATCATACTAATGATCATTTTCATCATACTGTCATCATAATAATGAATATTATCATCACACTATTATAATAATGCTAATTGGCACCGCAAATATTATCATAACAATGGTCATTATTATCATCATGATTACGATGTTTTATTTACCACCGAGATATCCACGTTGAGTCAAAGGGGAACCCTTTCCTTTCAGCAGCCTCCTGCCACGTAAAGTTGAGCACAGCACCAATTCTTTCGGCCAATGTAAGGGGCCATTTTGTTGATGTCACGTGGGAGGGAAAGAGCCGGGAGAGAGGCAGGAAGAACACGTCCCAAACGCCCGGAGAAAACCCCCGGGGCCGGAGCGAGGGGGTAACCCTGCCACCGCCCCCTCCCCCCCCCTTCTAAACCCCTGGTGGGTGTGCCCCCCCCTCCTCCCGCCACCCCCCCCCCCCCGTTGTTGGGGCAAAGGCTTCACCTGATGCCGAGACGCCGCCCGTCGAGTTGATGCGCTGCTCGCATCTCCTCCTGGCGTCCAGCAGGATGGAGATCTGCTCTTCCTTCGTCAGAACGTCGTCGGCGTCCACCTACACGGAAGTGTCGGAGAGAGAGAGAGTGAGAGAGGTAAGAGAGTCAGAGAGTGAGAGAGAGACAGCTCTCCGTCGTGCCACTGCATCGCCAATGCCGACAAACGAAAGCGGATCACGAGCTGTGCCGGCTGGAAGCCCTGCCGGAGGTGGCCTTCGCAAATGTAAAGAGGAAGGTGCTTTCTACTCCTACGTGGTCCGGTTTCACCAACAGGACACCCTGAGGAGCCACAAGGACCATGCCTGGAGGAGAGCCCCTGCCCTGCGTCTCTCCGGAGAGGCCTCGCTGGAGGCAACTCTACTCCAGCCCGACGTACGACCGCATCGGCGACCTCGGCTGGAGCATCGCCCACGGCACCGTCACCACCGACGCCTCCCTGGCGCGCTTCACCGACACGTCCCCGGAGTGCGGTTCTGCGGTAAAGTGGAGACGGTGGCGCACCAATACGTGGAGTGCAAGAGCCCGGACTCGCTGTTCAAGGTCCTGAGAAACATCCTCCTAAGGTTCAGCCTCCACTTCTCCCCGACGGTCCTCATCTTTGGATACCCGAAGGGCGACGGACCCCAACATCTTCAGGGACCGGTCAACGTGCTCGTCGGCTATGCCAAGCTCGCCGTATACAGGGCGAGGAAGGTGGCCCTGGAGGGGCAACGTCCGGCCAGCAGCCTGGGAATCATCCACGCTCTGGTCGGAGCCAGGGTGTGTGAGCCGGAGTTCCGCCGTGCGCGGCTGACCCACGCCGTGCCGGCCTTCAAGGAGCGGTGGGCGCTGGAGGAGGCCGTGTGCTCGGTGGCAGATGACGGAGAGCTCTGCGTGAAGATCTAAGCTACCCGTCGGAGGCCGTAGGACTGCGAGAAGGGCTAGGTGCTGATGCAGCACTTGTCGTAAAACATATATGTATAATAATATTACAACTATTACATAGAAAACATAGGGGGAACATTGACATGGAGTAGGGATGGAGGGGGTAGAGAGAGAGGGGGGGGGGGGGGGTAGAGAGAGGGGGTAGAGAGGGAAGGGGTAAGGAGAGCAGAGCGTGAAATCTATTGTGAAATCTTTCATTTAAAAAGTGTGGGGGGGAGGGGGGGTTACATGAAGAAAAGCATAAAAAACGAAATGATGAACGAAGAAAAGTGCCGACTACACCGAGAATCTTCTTGTTTCTCTGACCGGAAAAATGAAGAGAGTGAGAGAGAGAGAGTGAGAGAGAGAGAGACTTTTGACTTTTAAACAACTTTTATTGCCGCCAGCAGCAACAGCACTGGAGGCGATTCCGATATGAAATACACAAAGTCACCAGCAACACAAATACACAAAGTCACCAGCAACACAAATGAAAACAAACGCTATAAATCCACGCGCTGTAGCGCTAAATGCAGCGCGCACAACACGAAAGAAAAGTCACGTGGTGGTGGTGGTCATCGCGCGCGCCACGGTGACGAGCGAGCGCTTCAGAAGGTGAACACGTGGGGTGGTGCCGTCCACGCTGGTACAGAGAGGGGCTTGTCCGGCTCCCCAGCGCTCGAAGAAGACGCTCTGAACATCACCGACATGTGTGTGTGGTACGTGGCGTGCTCCAGCCGGAGCCGCGCCTTAAGCAGGCCCCTGAACACTGGAAGCAGCACAGATCAGCCGTCAGTGTCACCTTCCAGCATCTCGCTCTTCGTTCTGTAACACCGCCAACTTCGCCTGAGCACAGGGCGAAGTTGGCGAGGTCATGGCGCTTGTTAGCCAGGTAAGGCACCACCCCATATACGAAGCTGCTGTTGTAGAAGGGCACCCCCAGTTTCCTGAAGATGTCCCCCAAAAGGCGGAACATTGAGTTTGAGCCGCTGGCAGCGGAAGTAAATGCACCAAGTCTGTTACCCCCGGCGAGATTCGGCTGAGCCACACGGCCGATGGCAACGTGCAATGTGCCAACCTCCACTGGAGGTCACCGCAGCGTTTGGCTACGGGAGACTTGTACATTTGTTTCCACTGGGGGGGCGGCCGCAATAAGGGGAGAGAAATGGTCTCTCCGTTTTGTGTCCGGTAGGTCGGCCAGGTCCCGGGAATGCAGCGCCTTGACACAGCCACGTGTTGAGCGCTTTGTTCGGGGCGCTCTTCAGGGGCACGTTCCTGCAGCCTCGGCGCTTCAGTAGCTTGCCGGAGTCGCTGTGGCCAGGGGGCTGCGTGCAAGAGACGCACAACTCCGGGAAGCAGGAGGAGGTGTGGGGGGGGAGGACCGCCACCATCCCTCGGTGCCTCCATCTTCAGACGCAGCTTCTTCATGGCACGGAGCACGTCCCGCAGCAGCTTCTCCCCGGCGAGCATGGAGCGGAGCCCTGCGGTGTTGGCGATCTCAGCTGCGGTCTTTCACTTGGGCTGGTGGGGGCCTGCACAAGGTGGAAGACTGTCAGCAGCCCTGCTGATGTGAGGGGATGAGCCCCAGGGTCCTCTCTCCTCTGATCCCCTGGAAGAGGCCGTTGCAGAACGAGGGGCTCGTTCAGGAACGGCGCGAGGTCGTAGGGCGCGCGCATTCTACTCCACTCGAAGCTTCGCCACGCGTCCAAAAGGCTCTGTTGATAACCTGGCAGTCTCGTGTAGTCGACCAGGCTCGGGTCCATCAGGAAGAGCTCCTTTCCGTACTCCAGTCACCCCCCTGCATTCCTCAGCACGGCGAGGGACGGCGACTTCCAGGGTAGCTCCTCCCGGTCGTACAGCGGCCGCCTGACCGCCACGAGCCTGAAACTCGTGACCCTGGCGGCGACGTCCACCAGAACCCCGGCCACCCTCGCCCACTGGCAGGCAGAGAACGCCCGGCCTGAGCCGGTGCTTCCCGTGCCAGGCGAAGTGCGTGAGTGAGCGGTTGACTCTGGTGAGTAGCCAAGCGGGAGGCTGGAGGGGCCTTGGTCTTGTGCCACAGCACGGATGCTGCCAGGGTGTTAGCCATGAGCACTCGGCCCCTGAAGGACATCTGCGGAGCGAGGCGTGCCCATGTCAGTAATTAAGCCTCGATTGAGAGAGGGAGAGAGTGAGAGAGTGAAGCGGCGAGGAGGTCGAGCACCGGTGGCACGCGCTCATTGCTAATTTCTTTCTTTGTTGCACCGGTGGCGAGAGATGTTGACTCCCTCGCCCGGTACACGGGAGGTCAGTGGGGATTGATGGGAGTGAGCGGTTTTCTTTTTTTCGTTGTTGTTTGTTGTTGACGGTCAGCCAAAAGCCCGCTGCTACCAGGATGGAATTGTTCGGGTGGCATTGGGTTTTTCTCGACGCGGTTAAGTTCACGCGATCTGACCCCCATCACCCACTCCCAATCCAAACCCGATCCCCGCTATCGTGGATAATATCGATGGCAAAACAAAAAAGATCCCCCACGTGTTAAATAGCCGAGCCGAGTTTAGGTGGACGGGGCATGTGCGGCCGGTGTCATTTTCGCGGTCCCGCATGGAATGCAGCAGCCCAGCTGTGCCGGGATTTCGCGCAGTGATGGCGACAGCGGCGGCTGTGGGAAAACCAAACAGCGGCGCCACCACTCACTCGCTCACTCCCTCGCTCCCTGGCTCACTCACTCGCTCACTGGCTCACTCACTCGCTCGCTCCCTCGCCCCTCGCTCACTCCCTCGCTCCCTGGCTCGCTCACTCGCTCACTCCCTCGCTCACTCCCTCGCTCCCTGGCTCACTCACTCCCGCGCTCCCTGGCTCGCTCACTCCCTCGCTCACTCGCTCACTCACTCCCTCGCTCCCTGGCTCACTCACTCCCTCGCTCCCTGGCTCGCTCACTCGCTCCCTGGCTCGCTCACTCGCTCACTCCCTCGCTCACTCCCTCGCTCCCTGACTCGCTCACTCCCTCGCTCCCTGGCTCGCTCCCTCGCTCCCTGGCTCGCTCACTCGCCCGCTCAATCCCTCGCTCCCTGCCTCGCTTGGCCACTGAGGCATAGAGTGGGCCCCCCGGGCTGTGGCCAATAGCACGAATGTGGCCACCAGCTGATCGTGGGGAGATGGTGGGGAGATGTTGGAGATGGTGCGGAGATGGTGGAGATGGTGGGGAGATGGTGGGGAGATGGTGGACAGATGGTGGACAGATGGTGGAGATGTTGGGGAGATGGTGGGGAAATGGTGGGGAGATGGTGGAGAGATGGTGAAGAGATGGTGGGGAGATGGTGGACAGATGGTGGACAGATGGTGGAGATGTTGGGGAGATGGTGGGAAGATGTTGGGGAGATGGTGGGGAGATGGTGGGGAGATGGTGGACAGATGGTGGACAGATGATGGAGATGTTGGGGAGATGGTGGGGAGATGGTGGGGAGATGGTGGGGAGATGGTGGACAGATGGTGGACAGATGGTGGAGATGGTGGGAAGATGGTGGGGAGATGGTGGACAGATGGTGGACAGATGGTGGAGATGTTGGGGAGATGGTTGGGAAATGGTGGGGAGATGGTGGAGAGATAGTGAGGAGATGGTGGGGAGATGGTGGGGAGATGGTGGACAGATGGTGGAGATGTTGGGGAGATGGTGTGGAGATGTTGGGGAGATGGTGGGGAGATGGTGAGGATATGGTGGAGATGTTGGGGAGATGGTGGGGAGATGGTGGGGAGATAGTGGAGAGATGGAGATGTTGGGGAGATGGTGGGGAGATGGAGATGGTGGAGAGATGGTGGAGATGTTGGGGAGATGGTGGGGAGATGGTGGGGATATGGTGGAGAGATGGTGGAAATGTTGAGGAGATGGTGGAGATGTTGGGGCGATAGTGGGGAGATGGTGGGGAGATGGTGAGGATATGGTAGAGATGTTGGGGAGATGGTGGGGAGATGGTGAGGAGATGGTGGAGAGATGGTGGGGAGATGGTGGAGATAGGGAGAGATGGTGGAAATGTTGGGGAGATGGTGGGGATATGGTGGAAAGATGTTGGGGAGATGATGGAAATGTTGGGGAGATGGTGGAGATGTTGGGGAGATGGTGGGAAGATGTTGGGGAGATGATGGAAATGTTGGGGAGATAGGGGAGATGTTGGGGAGATGGTGGAGATGTTGGGGAGATGGTGGAGAGATGGTGATGGTCCAGATATCTTATGACCCCCATTAAATCCTCAAAAAACGTAATCGTTTGCGAGTAAGCTTCATTTAAAACGGAAACGAACATGCAAAGGAAACAAACATTTTTACGGCGAATGAATTGGTGGTGGGGGGGGGGGAGGAGGTGTCACAAGACATCTGGACCACCCTACATTCGAGCACGCCTTCACTCAAGGCACTTGACGTGGCCTACAAGACGGCGTTCGCTCACAGCGCTTGCCCCGACGGTCTGTTCAGCCTACCCCAGCGGGGATCTTTGCATTTGAGTCTGCCATCGCTTCCTTCCTGAGTAAAGATCTCAAATGCCCCCCTCCCTCCCTCTCCCACCCACCCACCCCCACCATTGATCCGGCGCCTCGAGATATAATCAGAATCGGAATATTTATTCATACTGGTGGAATCCGATGAGCCGTAAAGCTCTTTTCCACAGATCTCCGGTCGGGGCACGGGGTAAGAACGTTGCAACGGCAAACGACGCAAAAAAAACAACAATAGCAGTGCAAAGTATAGCAAAGTAAAACAAATCACTTTTCAAATAAATTTACAAATATATAGACTCTTACCCAGTGGTTTCACAAACTTTTAGTGGCTGCTACTTTACCTCCTTGTTGAATAATTGTCTCAACCGAGTTACCCCCCCCCCCCCCTCTTTGCCTGAGCCAACGTAGTTCTGACAAATCAATGTACGGATAATGAACGTTAATATTTTAACCAATTGTCCAATTCTTGGGGTATTCCTAACTAGCTGGCTGCTAGTATCCATAATACATGGGGGGGGGGGGGGGGTTTGGGGGTTTGGGGGCGGGGGGGGATGAGATCGCGTGAATATATAAATGTGTCGTGAACCTGCCACCACCCGACACAGCCAACTAGTAAAGGAGTTTGTCACGTAAACAGAACGTGGCCAATTCGTCACTAGTACAGCACCACCGGTTGTGTGTTGGAGAGAAACGCCACAACTTTTACAATCCGAGTACGACGTCTCGCCAGTAATTACAACCAGCTTCATCAGGCGACAGAGAGAGACACACACAGAGAGACAGAGAAAGACAGAGAGAGACACACACAGAGAGACAGAGAGAGACAGAGAGAAAGAGACAGAGAGAGACACACACAGAGAGACAGAGAGAGACACACACAGAGAGACAGAGAGAGAGAGACACACACACAGAGACAGAGAGAGACGCACACACAGAGAGACACAGAGAGACAGACAGAGACACATACAGAGAGACACACACAAAGAGACAGAGAGAAACACACACACAGAGAGAGAGAGACACACACACACAGAGACAGAGAGAGACACACACACAGAGAGACAAAGAGAGACACACACAGAGAAAGACAGAGAGAGAGACACACACAGAGAGACAGAGAGAGACAGAGAGAAAGAGACAGAGAGAGACACACACAGAGAGACAGAGAGAGACACACACACAGAGAGACAGAGAGAGAGACACACACACAGAGACAGAGAGAGACGCACACACAGAGAGACACAGAGAGACAGACAGAGACACATACAGAGAGACACACACAAAGAGACAGAGAGAAACACACACACACACAGAGAGAGACACACACACAGAGACAGAGAGAGACACACACACAAAGAGACACAGAGAGATAGAGAGAGAGACACACACAGAGACACACACACAAAGAGACAGAGAGAGACACACACACAGAGAGACAGAGAGAGAGACACACACAGAGACAGAGAGAGACACACACACACACAGAGACACAGAGAGAGAGACACACACACAGAGACACACACACACAGAGAGACACACACACAGAGACAGAGAGAGAGACACACAGAGAGACACAGAGAGACAGAGAGAGGACGACTGAGAGGCGCAAGGTGAGTGAACTGTATACGAGCAGCTGGCAGCAGCCAAGACGGTGTTAACCCGGCCGCTACCGACGATTTCCCGAGCTCTGCTGTCCTCCATATACGAAGGTGTTAGCAGTCCAATTAATGAGTGCTTATGTTAAACGACGATGATGATGCCGAAAAAAACTTCCAATATATAGCGACAATTAATCCACTGCTGGATGATAGCCTCCCCACCGCGATGCAGGGTCATGATGTGTGACCACCACGAGATCGTCATACCACGTAGCCAAAGCATAGCATTAGTCTGGTGAGTGGTGAGGGTCAGGTGAGTGGTGAGTGTATTGGTGAGTGGTGAGGGTCAGCTGAGTGGTGAGTGTATTGGTGAGTGGTGAGGGTCAGCTGAGTGGTGAGTGTATTGGTGAGTGGTGAGGGTCAGGTGAGTGGTGAGTGTATTGGTGAGTGGTGAGGATCAGCTGAGTGGTGAGGGTTAGGTGAGTGGTGAGGGTCAGGTGAGTGGTGAGTGTATTGGTGAGTGGTGAGTGCATTGGTGAGTGGTGAGTGTAAAGGTGAGTGGTGAGTGTATTGGTGAGTGGTGAAAGTAATTGTATTTTGTCGTTTGCTATACATCCAGATAATACGACAAATCGCTAGCCTTAATCACACAGACGTTCATAAAAGTTGAAGGCGGTATAGTACTATAGTAATAGTGCAGAATCACTGAACCGCAATTGATAGCTTGAAAGCATTTGGCGCGGGGCCCTTGAAAGTGCGGGGCCCCTAGCTACTACTACACATGTAGAAGTAGCTACTACATATGTAGTAGCTACTACTACATATGTACAGTGTGGGAAAAAAGTATATGATCCCCTGCTAATTTTTTACGTTTGCCCACTGACAAAGAAATGATCAGTCTATAAATTTAATGGTAGGTTTATTTGAACAGTGAGAGACAGAATAACAACAACAAAATCCAGAAAAAAACGCATGTCAAAAATGTTATAAATTGATTTGCATTTTAATGAGGGTAATAAGTATTTGACCCCCTCTCAATCAGAAAGATTTCTGGCTCCCAGGTGTCTTTTATACAGGTAATGAGCTGAGATTAGGAGCACACTCTTAAAGGCAGTGCTCCTAATCTCAGCTTGTTACCTGTATAAAAGATACCTGTCCACAGAAGCAATCAATCAATCAGATTCCAAACTCTCCACCATGACCAAGACCAAAGAGCTCTCCAAGGATGTCAGGGACAAGATTGTAGACCTACACAAGTCTGGAATGGGCTACAAGACCATTGCCAAGCAGCTTGGTGAGAAGGTGACAACAGTTGGTGCGATTATTCGCAAACGGAAGAAACACAAAAGAACTGTCAATCTCCCTCGGCCTGGGGCTCCATGCAAGATCTCACCTCGTGGAGTTGCAATGATCATGAGAACGGTGAGGAATCAGCCCAGAACTACACGGGAGGATCTTGTCAATGATCTCAAGGCAGCTGGGACCATAGTCACCAAGAAAACAATTGGTAACACACTACGCCGTGAAGGACTGAAATCCTGCAGCGCCCGCAAGGTCCCCCTGCTCAAGAAAGCACATATACATGCCCGTCTAAAGTTTGCCAATGAACATCTGAATGATTCAGAGGACAACTGGGTGAAAGTGTTGTGGTCAGATGAGACCAAAATGGAGCTCTTTGGCATCAACTCAACTCGCCGTGTTTGGAGGAGGAGGAATGCTGCCTATGACCCCAAGAACACCATCCCCCACCGTCAAACATGGAGGTGGAAACATTATGCTTTGGGGGTGTTTTTCTGCTAAGGGGACAGGACAACTTCACCGCATCAAAGGGACGATGGACGGGACCATGTACCGTCAAATCTTGGGTGAGAACCTCCTTCCCTCAGCCAGGGCATTGAACATGGGTCGTGGATGGGTATTCCAGCATGACAATGACCCAAAACACACGGCCAAGGCAACAAAGGAGTGACTCAAGAAGAAGCACATTAAGTTCCTGGAGTGGCCTAGCCAGTCTCCAGACCTTAATCCCATAGGAAAATCTGTGGAGGGAGCTGAAGGTTCGAGTTGCCAAACGTCAGCCTCGAAGCCTTAATGACTTGGAGAAGATCTGCAAAGAGGAGTGGGACAAAATCCCTCCTGAGATGTGTGCAAACCTAGTGGCCAACTACAAGAAACGTCTGACCTCTGTGATTGCCAACAAGGGTTTTGCCACCAAGTACTAAGTCATGTTTTGCAGAGGGGTCAAATACTTATTTCCCTCATTAAAATGCCAATCAATTTATAACATTTTTGACATGCGTTTTTCTGGATTTTGTTGTTGTTATTCTGTCTCTCACTGTTCAAATATACCTACCATTAAAATTATAGACTGATCATTTTTTGTCAGTGGACAAACGTACAAAATCAGCAGGGGATCAAATACTTCTTTTCCCTCACTGTAGCTACTTTTGCTACGACGATATAACCCGGCACTGCAAATGCATCTTCTTTTCTTATGTTGGTTTTTCCTACCCCTGGGTTTAAGTATTTCGTCAGCCACCCCCGTTCCGTACGAGGGCATCTGCCTCTCTCGGTTAACGTGCACAAGACAGCGAGGCGTGTATACACACACACGCGTGTGCACACGTGTGTGTATACACGTGTGCACACGCACGTGTGAACAACGGGCAGTAGCCAGCAGCAGCAACATCAACAGCTGAATGAACGGATCCATCAGAATGATAATATTTTTATACTCGAGAAGTAATCCGATGAGCTGTAAAGCGCTTTTTTTCCACAGACGTCCAGGTAGGAGCCACGGAATGTCACAACTTTACAACAACAAAGAACTCACAAACATGAGAGTAGTGCAACGTCGATGAGAATATTTCAATATACTGGAGGAGTAATCCGATGAGCTGTAAAGCGCTTTTTTTTACACAGACGTGCAGGTAGGGGCCACGGGATGTCAGAACTTTACACCAAACTATGCAAAAGCAGGATAAGGGTGCAAATGATAGATAAGGTAAACAAATCACTTAAAACACATTTACAAATCCGACTAAACTCACCACCACATCGGTAAAGGTTGTTCTACTCACCAGAGCAGCAACAACGAAGTTGGAGAGACGCGTCAACTCCAGGACGAGGATCGTGTTGAGGATCATCTCAGCTCTCATCTTGTGTGTCTTCCTTTCTTCCCGAAGCCGCCGACGTTGTCTCACCCCCAGTGACAAAACAAAACGATGATGATGATGATGCTGGTGGGGTTTCGTATTTGGCCGAGCGGTGGACAGTCGACCGTAGAGGAGCGGGCCTCGGGCGAGCTGATCTTCGTCTTCGTAAGACTTCAACTTGTGAGTGAAGGAAATCTTGAGCTCGTGTGGCTTTTGCGGATATTCCGTTGACGGTGTGTATGTGTATGTGTGTATGTATATGTGTGTATGTGTGTATGTGTGTGTATGTGTGTGTGTATGTGTCTATGTGTGTGTGTATGTGTGTGTATGTCTGTGTGTATGTGTGTGTATGTGTATTATATGTGTATGTATGTGTGTATGTGTGTGTGTGTGAGAGAGAGTTTAGATACCTAACCCGTTCGGTGTGATAGCGTCTGGTCTTCCCAATCGTCGCCGCATTTGTCCCTGTAAGGAATCGCCCGTAAGAGTTGTCGCTTCTTGACAACGCCGAGGATGTCAGGTCAATTAAAAAGCCGATTCATCTCGGCGTGACTCACACACACGCGCGCGCGCGCACGCACGCGTCCACGTAAAAAATCAAATACAATAAAAGTCAAGGATCTCTGAAATCATCTAAAAATTAAAATAAATTCAATCAAATCCGTAGCAGGAAATCCACCGCCTCCCCCACACCACGAAAAGCAATGTTAGTACGTAGTAAAAAAAGCGGAATAAATGTGAAATGAAATATATTAATAGTCGATATAAAATAAAGATACGGGGTGCAGCCCTGCAATTCCCTTGCTCTACAGGCGTTAATTTCCTCCAACAGGGCGCTGCACATGTCCCATCCAGAGGACGGGATGCTGAATAGATTCTCTGTCCGAGTCTTCAGTGCGCGTGTGTGTGTGTGTCTGACGCCGCACACACGGACATATACGTATATATGAGATATACCATTCACACATCTGTAGCCGTAGCCATACGCCACGGTCATATATCCATCAGAGTCGTGCGAACTCCAGCGGACAAGCGCTTTTTAAATGCAATCGAGCTCAAAGGCATCCAAATTAGCGTAAAAGAGCCTTACTGCTTTACAAGTGGTTAGAATAACAACAACAACAACAGCCTGGACTGTTGTTGTTGTGTGTGTGTGACTCTCTGTCCCTGGTATGTGAAGAGCAGGGAGACCGACAGCCGAGCGAAGTGGCTTCCTCGCTGCGTGTGGTTTAAAGTCTCCAGGGCTCGGGTTGCCGACGCGTCGTGGTTGGATCGGGGAGTCATGAATGTGTCGGGGGCGGGGGGGGGAGGAGGAGGAGCGGTGGGGCAGCGGTTAGGGCTGCGTTGCGCTGCAAAATCCTCGGCCGGCCACGCGATTTCGATTCCCGCTCGCGGCCACGGGTCCTGGGCATCCCCCACTAGGTCGGCTCAGCCTTAAACATGACTATCCTGGTGCGGTGGGTATAAACATCGCCGCGAGGGAGACAAAGGCGGCCCCGGGCGTGGTTGCTGTCCCAGCCATCCACATCGTGTGGTGTCACAGCGCCGGCCTTCGTAGGTGCTCGCTAACAGCACTTGCCCCGATGGTCCTGTCAAGGCTTTACGGGAGATCTTTGTCTTTGGCTGGGCATCGGTTAGCGCTGCGCTTCAAAAGCCTCGGCCGACCACCCGAGTTCGATTCCCGATCACGGCCACCAGCACCGCCGATGACGATTATCTTGAACCGGTCCTGCGTCCTCCCCCCTAGGTCGACTTAGCCCCAAATGAGGTGGGTTAACATCGGGAGACAAAGGCGGCCGGGCGTGGCGTTGGCCCAACCCATCCTCTCCTGAGTTGTGCCGCGATCGGCCTTCGTGGGTGGTTTGCCACTCGCTAACAGCACTTGCCCCAACAGTCTATTCAGTGTCGGATTATCCCAGTAGCAAAAGTAGCTGCTACATATTGTAGTAGTAACTACACGTGTGTATGTGTAGTAGCTACTACACATGTGTAGTATGTAATGTGTAGTAGCTACAGGTCTCGCACTTTCAAGGGCCCCGCGCTAAACGCTTTCAAGTTATCAATTCCGCTTCAGTGATTCTGCACTTGCTCTATCACTATAGTACTATACCGCCTTCGACCGGGTGTTTAAGGTTAGCAAATTATCGTATTATCCGGATGTATAGCAAATGAAAAAATAAAATTACTTCACTATGCAAGTCAAAAATGTATTTTTAATATTTATGTATTTTTTATTTTATTTAGGACCACTTTATAACATGCTACAGGCCCCGCACTTAGCTTAATCCGGCACTGAGTCCATTCTTTGCTTCTTTAGGTAAAGTCACGTAGGTGGGAAACACAATAAAAATAAAATAAATTAAATCACGACGTTTCGATTGCAACACAAGCAATCATCATCATCAAGTGTGACAACCACAGCAAGAAATTTTTTTTTTACTGAAGCGGAACCACCTCTCCACGTGGGGATCTTTGTGACGGGGGTCGGGGGAGGGGTGGGGGTGTGTGTGTGTGTGTGAATCTGCGATGCTGTGTATCGCAGACACCCTAGCGAAACGTCGTACTGCCAACATTGTTCATGCTTGCCCAACGACGTCGCTACTTCATTCGCTTGGCTCCGCCGGATGGCCGAGGGTTCTCGCGAAATAATTAACACAAGACATTGGCCAAACGTAAACTACAAATGAATCATAATGTATATATGTACACAGCAGTGCCGGATGAAGCTAAGTGCAGGGTCTGTAGCATATGATGTTATAAAGTGGCCCTAAATAAAATAAAATACGTAAATATTAAAATACACATTTTTAACTTGCATAGTAAAGTAATTGTATTTTTTCATTTGCTATACAGCCAGATAATACGACAAATCGCGAACCTTAAACACCCGGTCGTTCATGAAAGTTGAAAGCGGTATAGTACTATAGTAATAGAGCAAGTGCAGAATTACTGAACCGGAATTTTATAGCTTGAAAGCGTTTAGCGCGGGGCCCTTGAAATTGCGGGGCCCGTAGCTACTACACATGATGTAGCTACTACACATGATGTAGCTACTACACATGATGTAGCCACTACACATGATGTAGCCACTACACATGATGTAGCCACTACACATGATGTAGCCACTACACATGATGTAGCCACTACACATGATGTAGCTACTACACATGATGTAGCCACTACACATAATGTAGCCACTACACATGATGTAGCCACTACACATGATGTAGCCACTACACATGATGTAGCTATAACACATGATGTAGCCACTACACATGATGTAGCCACTACACATGATGTAGCCACTACACATGATGTAGCTACTACACATGATGTAGCTATAACACATGATGTAGCCACTACACATGATGTAGCCACTACACATGATGTAGCCACTACACATGATGTAGCTACTACACATGATGTAGCTACTACACATGATGTAGCCACTACACATGATGTAGCCACTACACATGATGTAGCCACTACACATGATGTAGCCACTACACATGATGTAGCTACTACACATGATGTAGCTACTACACATGATGTAGCTATAACACATGATGTAGCCACTACACATGATGTAGCCACTACACATGATGTAGCTACTACACATGATGTAGCTACTACACATGATGTAGCCACTACACATGATGTAGCCACTACACATGGTGTAGCTACTACACATGGTGTAGCTACTACACATGATGTAGCTATAACACATGATGTAGCCACTACACATGATGTAGCCACTACACATGATGTAGCTACTACACATGATGTAGCCACTACACATGATGTAGCTACTACACATGATGTAGCTACTACACATGATGTAGCTACTACACATGATGTAGTTACTACACATGATGTAGCCACTACACATGATGTAGCTACTACACATGATGTAGCCACTACACATGATGTAGCTACTACACATGATGTAGCCACTACACATCATGTAGCTACTACACATGATGTAGCCACTACACATCATGTAGCTACTACACATGATGTAGCTATAACACATGATGTACCTACTACACATGATGTAGCTATTACACATGATGTAGCTACTACACATGATGTAGCTACTTGTGCTACTACGATAATCCGGCATCGACACGCAGGGTTGCTATCGGCTATCTCCCCAGGCTACGTTGTTGGGCTACGGAGCGGCAGAGTGCAAATTAATTGAATCCGAATATTTATTTTTTTGCTGCAGGAGGAATCCGATGAGCTATGAAGCTCTTTTTCACAGATGTCAAGTAGGGCCCACGGGGTAAGAACGTTACAACAAACAGTAACAAAACACGTGCATAGTACAAGAGAAGTCAACAAATCACCCAAACACAAACAAATACAACACGAAACCAGCCCCATCCTACCATGCAAAGCCCACTGAGAAATCCATAAATGACGTCACGCGATTTTGGACGATTTTTGACCCCCCCCCACCAAATATGACGTCACAAAGCTCTGCCCCCCCCCCCCCCCGAAATAAAACATGCTTCAAATCTCTTTAAAATATTGTCATTGTAGAGCGTATTTAATGTGGCGCTGCACTCTGATGTTGTAGGAGAAAACATTTATTAAAAAGTACATTTAATAAGTAGAACGTGTCGTCTATATTTATTTAAAGTTGCGCATTTTGATGTGACGTCACATCTCTCACCACCCCTCCCTCCTCGTCACACCTCGTCACAAATATCTGACCCCCCCACCTCCCAGGTGTGTGATGTCAGTCATTTATGGACGGCCCCTAATCATTTGGCCATTTATCGCAGAAAAATTATCTAAATAGTCTCACGAACGCGTGCTTAAATTTTGATTTAAAGCTTTCGTGACTGCAGGGATTCATATTCTTGGTTCTTTCGGTAAAGTCACCACGTAGAAGGGAAACAATAAAATAATTTTTTAAAAATATATAAAACAACGTAAAAAAACGCCACTTTTTTCCATTTCTCTTACTGTGGTTTTCACGCCTGATGATAATTGCTCGTGTTGCAGTCGAAACGTCGTGAGAATTTTATTGTTTTATATTTTTTATTATTTTATTGTTTCCCTTCTACGTGGTGACTTTACCGAAAGAGCCAAGAATGTGAACGCGTGCTTTATAAATGTGGAGGGGGAAACCCGGAGGACCCGGAGAAAAATAAATCCACGCGACCACGGGGAGAGAGAGAGAGGGGTTGTTCATAAATGACGTCACGCACCTAGGGAGGGCGGGGGGTCAGACATTTGTGACGATGTGTGACGAGGGGGGGGGGTGAGAAATGTGACGTCACATCACAATGCGCAACTTTAAATATAGACAACACGTTCTACTCTATTAAATAGACTTTTTAATAAATGTTTTCTCCTACAACATCAGAGTGCAGCGCCACATTAAATACGCACTACAATGACAATAGTTTAAAGCGATTTGAAGCATGTTTTTTTTTGGGGGGGGCAGAGCTTTGTGACGTCACATTTGAGGGGGGGGTCTGACTTTTTGTGACGCCGTGTGACGATGGGGGGGGGGGGGGTCAAAAATCGTCTAAAATCGCGTGACGTCATTTATGGACGGCCCCTCAGGGTCGGGATAGAAGCCACGACCTACTGCGTACGCAAATGTTGGACCGTACATCTGTGCTACCCCCGCCTGCACCGATCTGCAACTAAACACCAGCGTGACCCAAGGTAATCCCCACCTCCCCTCCCCTCCCAGTACCGCCAATCAAATGCTAATTTTTCATGCCAATTTCTTTGTCAGAACACCTTGTTTGCTCGCACACAGGTCCGATGTCTGAGCGTGGTTGTGTTTCGCTAAATTCTCCTGTTTGATGAGTACTAGGTGCCTCGGTGAATGTATATGCTCTAACTTTAACATAGTTATTTCTGTGACCAGTTACAAGCTAATCACTCAGCTATTTCAATGCTAAATTCGATGCTAATTCCTTTGTCAAGGGGTACCTCTGCGGATGTGTATACTTTAACTTAGCTATTTCAATGAGCCATTTCAATGCTAAATTATATGCTAATTCCTTTGTCAAGGCGCGTGGTCTTTTTTCTTCTCACACAGCTTAAAGGTCGTGATCTAAGCGTGGCTTCTTCCACTCCAGCGCTAATTCCTTTGTCAAGGGGTACCTCTGCGGATGTGTATACTTTAACTTAGCTATTTCAATGAGCCATTTCAATGCTAAATTATATGCTAATTCTTTTGTCAAGGCGCGTGGTCTTTTTC